TGGAGTCCAGGCCAGACCCGGCGTGCAAGTCCCATTCCTTCGCTCACAAGCTACGTGGCCTTAAATAAATTACTTCAGGGGTCTTACCTTTAAAATGGGGGAGGAACACAACGGTACCTACCTCCTGGGGTAAATATGGGGCGTCAATGAATTCGGTTACATAAACCATTCCGGCACACAGCAAGTGCTATGTAAGTATAACCATCATTACGTGACAACATGGTGATTGTGATCACGGTTTTTGGTCCGAGAAGGTCTGATCTGAACTCCCGGCTGCTATTAACTGGATGACCCTGGGAAAGTTACTGTGACATCTCTGTGCCCCCATCCTCTTACAAAATTAAAACAACCTTCACATCAGTGTGAGACCACACAGGGTCTGGCAGAGTCATTTTCAAACGGCCCTCTGCGTTCCACCCTCCGCTTCCAACTCCCCTTCCCGGCGCCCGAAACACCGAGATCCGCCAAGGAACGTCCCAGCGAAAAGCGCGAAGCTGAAGTAATGCGACGCCGACCCTACCATTCCCGGTAAAATCCGCCCTACCTCACCCCCATTCAATGACCAGGCTCTAGGGAGATTAGGGCTGCCATTCCCGCTCCCTCCTCCCGCCAAACCGGAAAACCCGCCAGTCGGTGCCCAGAGCACCCCGGGAAGGGGCCGGGAAGAGGCGGGGCCCCGCTGCGACGCCGCCGCGCCCGCGCCCCCTCACCAGTAGCAGCTGTTGTAGACACAGGCTTCCCGCGGCGGGCTGGCCGGCTGGTAGTGGGCCGCTGCGGCTGCGACCGAGACGGCGGGGACATCCTCTTCCTCCATGGTGGCTCGGACCGCGGCACCGGCCTGAGGCGGACTGACTGGACCAGCCCGCGGGCGGGCTTCGGGAAAGAGCTAGCGTACAGCGGCACGGCGCTCGTACTCTCGGGATAAAGTGGGCGGAGTCCGAGGCCGCGGGTGCTGTTCCCTAGCGGTGGATCCTGGGATGGGTAGGCGGAGCCGGGGCGGGGCGGGAAGCTCAGTTTACCCGCGCTGGACCAGGGCGGGCCGTTGGGTGGAGCTAGAGGTTGATGGGCGGGCCCAGGACGGTACTCATCGTGGAAGGTGGGAATGCTGGCTCCAGTGGGCGGAGTCTGGGTGGATGCTGGGGCTGGTTCTGGGAGGGTGGAGCCAGGGCAAAGAGGGCGCCTCGCGGGTGGAGGGAGCGGCGTGAGTTCGGAGCGAGGAAAACTGCGGAATTCTGGATAGGTGGAGCCCGGCAGGTGGGAGGAGCCTGAGCTGGGACAGGCAGCGCTGGTTCGGAGTGGGGCGGGGCTGGGGATGCTGGCGGCAGAAACTCGTGTATGAAAAGCGAAGCTTTAGCACCTTGAACCTAGAGACCGCGGGACCCAGGAGTTGGGGGCGGGGGGCGTAATTTTATAAACGTCTGCATCAAGGACGGCTTTAGACAGGGATGTAACCCTAAAATTTCACCGTAGTGTGTCTTTTTTTAAAGAAAAATAAAGAATTGTATATATTGTCTCAGAGATACATGGATTTTTTTTTAAAGTGTTAATAGGCCTCTTCGTACCCATTTTGTGTTAATTATGTATTCATTATTTGCTGGCAGTGTGGAAGGAAAGATGCCAAATTGTTAAAACAGGGTTTATCTTTGGTGGAAAATATATTTACACAGATGTGAAAATATATTATAAATATATATTATGTTATAAATATAATATATCAACACAAATATATTGCACAGATGTGAAAGGAGAGATTCAGGAAGTCTATAGCACATAACATTGAGGATTAAAAACAAAAGGAGGGTTTTTTTTTCATTGAAAAGGGGTATTTATAATGCCCAGTATTAAAAGCCAAAAGAACAAAGAAGAGATAATCCCATTGCTTGGCACCAAATAGTTGTTGGCTATTTTGGAAATAGCCAACAACCATTTTGCTCTATCAAAGATTATCCTCAATCTATAAAGGACAAGAAAAATAGCAGTAAGAGGAAATTAAAGTCAAGATAAGTTCAGTGGTAGAAAGCCCCAAGATGCCTTAAATGGGTTAAAAATCTTCAGACCCGGATGAGCTATATCCCAGGATACTGAAAGTGCTTTAGGTTATGACTCTAAAGCCTCCCTTATGGATCTTAGAAAACATTTTGGAGGAGATGACATAAGACTAAATATAAACACTTGCTGTCTTGAGTGTCATAAAAGGAAAAAATGTGTTCCAGACACTATACCTGGTGAACTCCATGCCTATTTCCAGGATGGTCTGTGACCACGAAGAAAGGTAATTTATTCAGGGGCCTTTAGTGGTTTCACAGCTCATTTCATCCCAAATGGGCCTCATTTCAAGTTGTTGGAAGAATTAATTGATTATTGGATTATAGCACAAACAGCATGTAGTTTGATTCCAACAAAGCAGCTGGCCCAGTTTTATTAGCTATAACTCCTTTACTCATTTTGTTAAAAGTCAAGGCAGAAGGACTGTTTATTAGCTGGTTCAGCAGGAAAGACGCTGAAGTGGCTCTCACAAAAGGTGAGCCACAGAAACCAGGGTCTCATGGGACCAGAAGCAGAACTCCCCTCTCAGGCCTCCTGTCCGCCTGTGTCAGTCCGCCCCTCGGTGCTTGGCTTCCTTCTCAGGTGACTGCACTTCTTGCTGTGGGGGAGGTGGCCTCTGGCCACCCCATATTCATATTTTCCAGGCTTGGCAACCCCAGTGGAAAGAGAAAACTTCTTTTCCTCATAGCAATCACACAGAGTGACTTGTTCTTTCATTTTTTACGCTTCTTTCCTACTTGAATTTTTCTCATATATTAGTTTTTAATACATTTTAAAAATACTGTTTTTTTTTAAGAGAGGGAGCATCAGTGTGTGGTTGCCTCTCACACACACACACACACACACACACACACACACACACACACACTTGCGTGCCCCCGAATGGGGACCCATCCTGCAACCCAGGCACGTGCCCCAACTGGGAATGAAACTGGCAACCTTTTGGTTCGCAAGTCAGCGTTCAATCCACTGAGCTACACCAGCCAGGGCAAAATAAATTTCCTTATTAAATGAAATATATATCAACATTAATATAAAGAGCTGCATGGACAGACTCTTGCTCACTTAACTGTTGCCCAACTGTTGCACATTAGTTTGTTTTCAGATCCTACTATTATAAATAAAGCAGTCAACATCTTTGTACATGAATCTTGGTCAGGATGGAGTCCTAGAGATGGGATTCCTGGGCCAAAGATTTTAAATATTTTCCAGGTTTCTTGATACATATTGCTATATGGTGTTTAAGAAATGAGCCTAGCTCTGGCTGGTGTGGCTCAGTGGATTAAGCACTGGCCTGTGGACAGAAAGGTTGCTGGTTCAATTCCCAGTCAGGACACATGTCTGGGTTGCAGGCCAGGTCCCCAGTTTGTGGGCGTGCAAGGGGCAACCAATCAATGTTTCTCTCACACACTGATATTTCACTCTTTCTCCCTTCTTTCCCCTCTCTCTAAAAATAAGTCAGTGAAGTCTTTAAAAAAAGAAATGAGCCTATACCTCAATATTATATTCAGTATTATTAAAAAACAAAAATATAGACAAAAATTGGCATTCCCACTGTTATTTAAAGATTTGATTGATTGACTGATTGATTGTGCTCAATCACTACAGCCATACCAGCCAGAACTCCCATTGTTACTTTAAATTATATTTAACCAATTAACACTTACCTGTACTAAAAGGGATCATTTCATTATAAAGCAAAAAGTCCTAAGGCAGCAATGTACTATGGGAGCTCGGAGGGGGCACCCTCACCGTTGGGGATAGGTATTGGGCTGGGTTGGAGCACAATATTATTACTCATCTTACTTAGAATGGGGTGGGAAGGAGGCAATAGCCCAGCACCATCTACATGGATCAGTCCATGCCTGTGTTATTAGGGGAGGCTAACTAATGATTTTCCCTCTTTTTGTGGAAAATCAGGGATATTAGCTATAAAATTTAAGTATGGTCACATTTACAACATTCCTGAAAAAAATCACTGTGCAAACTGATGTTTACTTTCTACCTTTGTTACCAAAAAGGGACGAACCCATGACCTCATCTCAAATGAGGTAATGGGATTATGATTAACTCTTACTTCAGCCCTCCTTTCGGTCACACTTGAGGTAAGAACACTTGATCCTCCTCAAGCAGTCAGCGGGGGTGGGAAAGGACCTCAGTGTCCATGCCCCTTCTTTTCCTAAATCAGATCACTCCTCCCTGCAATAACTAGAGATTGAAAAAGGAAAGGAGTATTACCTGCCAAAGACCAATTCCAGACTAACTCTTTAAATTTCCTCAGGCTGCTGTGACACATTACCACAAACTAGGCGGGGGAAAAAGCACAATGGAATTCATTCTCTCAATTCAGGAACCAAAAGTCTGAAATCAAGGTGTCAGCAGGGTTGGTTCCTCCCGGAGGCTCTGAGGGAGAATCTGTTCCATACCCGGCTCCTGGCTTCTGGTGGTTCCTGGCAGTCCTTGGTGTTCCTTGGCTTATCAACGCACCACTCCAACTCCTGCTCCCATCTTCACATCACCTTCTCTGAGTGTCTCTGTGTGTCAAACCTCCCTCTCTTTTCCCTTAAGACACCAATCACTGGATTTAGGGTCCACTATAAATCCAGGCTGATCTCATGTCAAAGATCTTTAATTACATCTGCGAAGACCCTTTTCCAAATAAGGTCACATTTACAGGTACTACAGTTAGTTCGGAACTTGGACATATGATTTGGAGCGCATGGACCAATCCACTACACCAACCAAAATCTGAGGCAAACGTGGTAACTCTTAATATTGGGGCAGAGAGAATAAAGAATCAAGAAAACCCTTTGGCTGGCTCTGTCTATGGTGTTCTGAAATATCTCTTTGCTTATTTTAAAAGAACTAAAGTGACTGCTATAATTTCCATGGAAGTCAATTTGATAGTATTTAACAAAATCACAAATGCATATGCCTTTTGGTTGGAAGGTCTTTTTATACACTTTTACTGAGGTATATAATATGCATTAAGAAAAGAGAACATGTCAGAAGAGTAGACTATGTGACTTTAAGTATTGTGCTTTCCACTTCCATTTATATGGCATAAACAATCATTTTACAGCTTTTTTCTAAATTAATATATATTCAATGTAAAAAAAAACAAAATTGAGAAAAGTACAAAGAAACTACACAACAACCACAATATTACTATGAAGAAATTAACCATTTGTAACAATGGAAAATTGTAACAGGGGTGAATTGTAACCAACACCAGCATTCTTTTGTCATTGTTTCTGTAAGTGCAAACTCTGACCATTATGTAGCGTGTAGATGAACAGCATGTTGGTATTGTATAACAATCCCAGAAATCAGTTTCAAAAGATACAGACCCTGACCTTCAGGCATCCCAGTTCCGGGAGATTTGCTGACCTTCAAGCACGGAGCCAGGATGGCGTGACGTCAGGATGACGTGAATCCATGATGACTAAACCAGGATGTTGCACACCGGACCATCCCTTGCCTTGTCGGAATGGACTGTGCTAGTCTTCTGCATGTAGAGAACTCAGCAACCCCTTCCTTCCATCTCTTTCCCCCTCTCCGTCCTTATAAAAACCTCTGCCTCCACTGAGAGGGAGAAATGGGCTTTTTGCTTGACATGAGTCCCCTGTCTTCTCAGGAGATGGGCTTTGAGATATGAGGCCCCCATCTTTCAGGTGGCTGGCATCTAGAAATAAAACACTTCCCTTACATCCGCACATGCCTCCCTAGTATTGGCTTTCATAGAGGCAGGCAGCCGGACCTGCATTTGGTTACACATTCACATTTTGTTGTAGTTTCTTCTAGGCCAGGGATGTCAAACCCCATTTTCACCAGGGGCCACCTCAACCTCAAGGTTGCCTTCAAAGGGCTGAAAGTAATTTCAGGACTGTATAACTGTAACTACTCCTTAACTGTTAAGCGAGAGCTCAGCACTTCCACCAGATAGAAACAAAGTGCCAGGCCTGATAAAGCAAGGTGGAGGGCCGGATTCAGCCCGCAGGCCTTGTGTTTGCCACCTGTGTTCTAGGCTTCTTCCAATGTAAATATACACATATACTTAAAAAAAAACAAAGATGGAACTGTATGATCCTATTCTTTGTAGTTTCTTAACATTACCATGCATTGTGCACATATAATTTTCCACATAATTAAAACTTTCCATATAATTAAATTAACAGTTACATTCACTTTGCGGAATGATGCCCAAACAATTGAACCACGCTGGTCAGGGCTACTTCATAATTTTTCCTGACTGAGTAGCATTCTTTTTAAGTGAGGCCCCACTTAATTTCAAGTTGTTTTCAGTTTTTTGACATTGTGAATAATTCTGTGGTAAATATCATTTTATATGTACTTAATTTTTTTATTTTTCAATTACAGTTTACATTCAATATTCATTTTGTATTGGTTTCAGATGTTGAAAACATTTTAAAAGCCAACATTTTAAGTGCAGAATATATATGACTCTGTATCTTAAATGTGTATCAAAAGGAATTCCTGATATTCCCTCCAAACTTGCTTTAGCCATAACCATCTCCATCCAAGTATAGCTTCATCTTCAATTAGCTCAAATAAACAAGCAAACAACAACAACAACAAAGCAAACACTGGAGTCATCCTTGACCTGGACTCTTCTCTTTTTGTATTAGTGAAATCCAATTAATCAGAAAATTCAGTTGGCTCTTTCTTCCACAGAGACCCATAATCGGACCATTTCTCATTACTTTCATTGCTTTCATACTCTGTCAGCATCACCTCCTTCCTGGATAATTGCGGTGGCCTCCTAACTAGGGTTGCCCCACTCAGCAAATAAAAATGCAGGATACTCTGTTAAAATTGAAGTTCAGATAAACAACAATTTTGTTTTAGTATAAGTATGTTCCAAATATTGCCTTCTCCACACAGCAGCCAGAGGGATTCTTTGAAAAAGTCAGACTAAGTCACTTCTCTGTTCAAAATCCTGTGATGTCTTTTCATCTCATTTGTAAGAAAAGGTAAAAAACAAACAACAACAAAACACCTTACAGCCAAGGCCCACCCACAGCTTGCAAGATCTGCTACTGTGGACTGGTTCCTCTTTTATCTCATTATCCTCCTCCTCCTCCCCTTCCCTCTGCTTGCACTTCCCTTCTCCCAGACCTGCCCAATGTCCTTTAGGTCTTCGCTTATACTCCTGGGTGATACCTTCTCTACTCACCCTGTTTAAAATTGCACACTTCCTTCTCCTTCCATGCTTTGTACTTCTCTGACATCACCTTCCTTCCACTAGAATTGAAGTTCCATGACAGCATTTTTGCTCTTTTTGTTCACTGCTGCATCTCCAGTGCTTAGAATAGTTCGCAGTCAAATAATAGATGCTCAATAAATATTTAATAAATGTCGAGTTAAGGCAATGTAGTTATCCAAATCAATAAATAGCTTTTGTGTCTGTTTCCCGTTCACATTCTGATCATTCAGCATGTTGTTATCTATTTCAAAGTAGTCAAGTGACTGCTGTAATCCTAAACCCATTTTCCGGTAATTCTGTAACAGTAACACACATTTATGAGCGCAGACACGGTTCTAAGGTATAACAATATCTCAGAACTTTAGGTATTATTAGTTCACTAAAAGATGAGAAAATCAAGAGACGGAGAGGTGAATAATTTGCTCAAGATCATATAGGTGGGACATGGCAAGGTTGGGTACAGATCCTGCGTTTTTAGCTCCATTTCTGTTTTCTTTTGAACTTGTGTTGGTTAAGATACCAGTAAAAAGCTCTCAGGGATTTAAGTCAAAACTCAACAAATGCTAAGTGCTTTTTACCCCTCCGGGCAAGCGCTCGACATTTTGCATTTGAATCCTGCCCTGGGGAAGCTGAAGGCAGGTGTCTGAAGGGGCGGGGAGGAGCCGCCAGACCCCCGCCAGCCAATCAGAGCGGGCGGGAGTCTCCCTCCTCACCCCGCCCCCACTCTGACATCCTCGCGCCAAAATTCCAAACAAGACTTCTCGCCGCTCCCCGCCGTCTCCCTCCGCCGAGTTCCGCGAACCGGAACTAAGTAAGAAGAAGAAGTGAGCGTTCTCCCGCCACTGTCCGTTCAGGTCCTCAACATTATGGGCGCGGGTTCTCAACTTCGCCTGAAGTCCTTCCCTGCACGAATGAGGAGTACAGTTCCAATCCCGCCGTTGTAGGGTGGCGGCGTGGGCGGGACGAGGCAGCGGAGGGATTCCTGGAGCGCGCGCCGAGAAAGCGGCCGCGGAGCTTGTGGCGCCAGAATTCAGAGCGCGGAAGAGCCGGAGCGACCGCTACCTGGCACTCGGGTCTGTCTCGCGCCGCGGACGCGGCGGCCGGAGACCGGAGAAGATGGTGGTCCTCCGCAGCAGTCTGGAGCTGCACAGCCACTCCGCCGCTTCGGCCGCGAGCTCCCTAGACCTGTCCAACGAGTTCCTCAGCTTGGAACACGTCGGCCGGAGGCGGCTCCGCTCGGCCCGCGCCGCCGAGCAGTCCTCAGTCGCCGCGGCCGCTGCGAGCGTGAGTACCGGCCTGGGGCGGGCGCCTGGGGCCTGGCCGCAGGGACTGCTCGCGGCGCGTCGCCCCGGTGGGGCCTGGCGGGTGGGCCCTGCGGTCCGGATGACAGTTGCGGGGGGCGGTTGGGAGTGTTGTCGAGGACCGGTAAATGGAAGTCTTAAGATCGGAGCCACTAAGGGTGTGGGTCGGGCGGAGAGATCGGGCTGCCTGGAAAAGAGCTAAGCCGTGATACCTACTTTTACACGGGAGGAAGCCAAAACCCTGTGGAGCTGAAGCGCAGTGCAGGGGCGAGCCCGGGGCTGGGAGGCTGTCCCCGCCCCCCACCTCGCACACTTCCCTAACCCGTCGCCCGGGCTCCCGCCCCGTGTTCTCCTCCATCGAGGGCAAGACACGTGTTCGGACTGTTAACTGTCCGCCTAGTAAAGGTTTTAGGGACCCGGGGGGTGGGGGGGTGGAAAGAGTGTCATTCCGGTTCCCTGACCTCCATGGACGATCCAGAGAGTTTCCGTAAGGAGAGCGCGGTGAATAAAGACCAGGTTGCATAGTGTGGGGATGGAGACCAACATTTCCCGCACACCCGCTGCTCTCAAGCCTCATGACAGCCCCACGAGCGTGGGGAGCTGTGTGTGTCCGCAGGAAGGAACGGGCTCCAGAGGTGACCAGTCCAGGGGTGGCTCCCAAATCGGAGCTTGGGCTCCGCGCCTCCGAAACCTTTCCCTTCCTGTTCTGCCACGCTGCAGTTATAAACGGTGTCCGCGGGGGAAGTTTCCCCGCCGAGGGGCTGGGGCGGGCAAGTCTGGAAAGACGTGCTCCTCCTTCGAAGAGGGGAAAGGGAGTCCCTCCCCTCCGCACCCCGGCTGTTGGGAGAGTCACGGGCGGAGGGGACCGGAGGAAGCCAGCCTGGGGAAGTCAAGGCAGCAGGAAGCGGATTAGTTCTGCCGAAGGAAGGGGAGGCGTGGCGTGGGGATGGGAGAAACGGGGCCCGCGAGCGAGAGGCCACGGGGAGGTGTGTGGGGTGGGGGAGTGGCCGCCGCCCGAGTGGGGAGCCGGGTTCCGTCCTGGGCGCCGCATCCCGGTTGCTGCTCTGCCGAGGGCAGAGTCCTGCTCGGTGTCCGAAAATGCGATTTTGAACTGCAAAAACCATTTCCTGGTTTTCAGGATCGGCTGCTCTGCCCTGTGCAGAAGTTGGTAGCGGTCTGGGGAGGCCCGGCACTTCTGCACGGAACTCGGGTCGCTTTATCAAACTGTGTTCAAGGGAGCTGATTGTTTCAGTAGATACTTACTGACTGCTGTTACCTGCAGGACAACACTAGATCCTGTGCCTGTAATGGATTGAATGCAGGCTAAATAACAGGTGTTTAAAACAGCTGTCAGTTTTGAATCTCAACAGTCATCAGCAGGTTTCTACACGTTAAAAGGTGATACCCACCACACGGGTAATGAGAATTAAATGTGATCGTGCGTATGAGATTACCTGAACGCTTGGCATAAACTGTAGTTAGAGCTCAGTCATTGTTCGCCATTTGGACCAGTCAATTTTAGTTAATGGTCTGTCGTCTTTCCAGTTTCTCAGGCCAAAAACCTCGGTCATCCTTGACTCCTCCCATTTTACGTTAGCAAATTCTGTTGGCTCTGCTTTCACAATATATTCAGAATCTGACCACTTATCAGCCTCTCTCTCCATTGTTGTCGTGCTGGTTCAAGACATTATTGCCTGGATTATTAAAATAGATTCTTGGCTGGCATCCCTGTTTTCCACCCTTATATACATATATACATATGTGTTGTAGCTTGACCTTGCTCGAACAGAACTTAGACTAGCGAAGGAGACCTAACAGCAATATACAGAGACTATTTGCAGTAAATGTCACATCAGTGGCAAGTGGTGGTGGAGCAATTAGCACTCAGCTAGCTGAATGTTATAGGGTGGAAAGGATTTTTTTTTTTTTTAACATACCTGGATTTCCTGTAGGGATTATATCTTTTTGAGACACAGTATTACTCTCTTCTATAAATCTCCTGTGACCAAATCATAACCCTCAGAGGGTTACTTAGTGAGCATGGGGTTGGATCAAAAGAAATGGATAATCTTGAGGGGGCAGTATATTCATGTTGACAAAGCTCACCAACATCAAATACAAAATATACCTTTGCGATTGGACTGTTTTCTAATCTGGGAGCTTTATATTCAATACATTTGACTCAATTATAGCTTGACTTTTTTTTTCACCTATCATGTATTTTGGAATGTTAATACCCTGACTGTATTTGGATCTAATTTATAGCCTCAACCACAGTCTCTGACAGCATTTCTTAGGGTAGGTCACTTTTAAATATAGTTGAATTTACTCACATTTATTAACTTGGATTTTTTTTTCCATCTAATCTCAGGCTGACCTTATCTTTAAGTTCTGAAGGTACCTTTAGTCACCCATTCATTAACCACATTCTACATTTTGAATATGATCTCACTCAACTGAGCTTCAGGATTTTTCTTCCCTTGATTTGTATGGATTTTGTTGTTTTAAATTTGTTTTTTGTTTTTGATTTATGTCCTACCAACCTTATGAGTTTGGGTGCCCCTTCTGTGGTTTCCTCTTCCTCTAGGGTTAGACTAGCCATTTTCTATTTCTGTGCTTTCACAGGTCTAGGACTCTAAATTTATGGTTTTTCTGATGCCAAAGACTCACTTAAGGATTGGTGATAATTGTACATTATTTTTGGATTGTGTTAATGTACACTTTTATTCTCTATGTTAGGTAAAATAAAGCATGCTTTAGTTTGTAGAAGGTATGGGTTTTTAAATTGTATATTTATTTGAAAGTCTGGAAAGATACTCGAAACTCAACAAAGATGTATACAACATACAGGAGGTTTTCTTAAAACTAGAAGCATAACACAGCACAGAAAAATAAAAAGTGTACAGCTTAGTGAAGTATCACAAATCATGGATAGGGAAGTTTTGACATGTGGCAATGAGTATTGTTCCCCTAGAGTTGGTTGACATGGCTGCTCTTTATTTGAAAGAGGCTACTTGTTTTAACTGACCCTTCATTTTAGGTTTAGAAGTTGGGACTTCTAAAACAGGAATCGGATGAGGTAATGTTTAGGATGGATTATAGACAACAAATCTGGAGTTTGGAAGGCCCATTAAAAGATTATGATATTAATTGTATAGCACTTGCTATATGCCAAGCAAGGTACATGATATGTACACACACATTTGCCCTATAAAGTAACAATATCCTCATTACAAATATGAAAATTAAGGCACAGAGACCTTATGTAACTTGAACAAGATTATACAGATCTAAGTTAAGAACCAATCCTAGGCAGTCTGTCTGTCTTGGGCCTCTTAATTAGTACACTGTTATCACAATAGACCAAAGCAAAGCAAAGCGTAAATTAAGATGGAACTAAGAGGAATGGAGAGAAAAATGCCAAATAATATTGCAAGGGGCCTGAAAGTTGTTGAGATACAGGGAAGGAAGGCAATAAGCCAAAAACATGAATAGTAGATTGTTGGGGATATGTGGTGAGAGATTGGCACTATGTATGTTTGGGACTGATCCACCTGTATAGAGGTGATGGTTGAACCTTTCAACGTGAAAAGAAACATAGCAAAATACAAAAATATTTAAGAAGATCTGGAGCAGTGGCTATATTTTAAGGATGAGAAGAGGATGAATTATGTAAAAAGGAGTAGTATCATGTAAACCAAAGGGTCAAAGCATTTAAAGAAAGGAGTGATCAACTCCACAGAAGTCAACAAAGTAGAGCAGAGGCCATTGGACTTAGCTATTGAGAGATAGTTTTAGATCCACTGAAAGAGCTGTAGAGATAGAAACCAAATAGTTGGAGCTTGTGGAATAGATTAAAGGTGAGGAATTGACCATACCTATATTTAGCTAAGGAGGGATATTATAACTATACTAGGTATAATATACCATTGTGCATTACAATATGCTGCTGTTCAAACTTTCAAGGACCTCAAAGTCTGGGTGAATGCATTTTATGTCAGTATTATAACTATGATTTAAAAAATCCCACCTGCTGATGTGGCTCAGTGGGTTGGGCACTGGCCTGTGAGGCCTGCGAACTGAAAGGTTGTCAGTTCATTTCCAGGCAGGGTACATGCCTGGGTTGGGTGTCAGATCCCTGGTAGTGGGCCTGTGGGAGGTAGTCAATCAGTATTTCCCTTGCATATTGATGTTTCTTTCCCTCATTTTCTCCCTCCCTTCCACTGTCTAAAAAACAAATAAAACTTAAAAAAAACCCTCAAACCTCATTTGTTGAATTGATGTTGAATTAACTTAATCAACCGACCCTCATACATATTTTGTTATGAATTTAAAGCTTTAATAAACTTAGTTTTCTGTGGGAAAACAACATATTAGAATATTTCTGCCCTGGCTGGTGCAGCTCAGTAGATTGAGCATGGGCCTGCAAACCAAAGGGTCAGAAGTTCGATTCCCAGTCCAGGACACATCCCTAGGTTGCAGGTCAGGTTCCCAGCAGGGGGCACATGAAAGGCAACCACACATTGACATTTCTCTCCCTCTCTTTTTCCTTCCTTCCCCTCTCTCTAAAAATAAATAAGTAAAATCTTTAAAAAATTATTTCAAAATATTTCTGTTATGCAGTTGTGTCAACCTTGGGGAAAAACTTGTTATTCTATTGGTATACTCCCTGAACTAGTTTACCTACTAACTCTGCAAGATTATAAGACTTAAAATCTAACAATATATTTTTACTCTTTTAATACTTTTAAAGACCTATCAGTGCTCCCAATATTTAAGTAGGTTTTAGCTAAAGAATAAATGTGGACAGTACATCTTTAGGCTTTGTTTTCAGATCATGTTTTCTCTTTGTTATTCTTAGGAAAATCTTTTCTGGTAGTGCATGTTGTAAAATGTAGAAAGTGAAAGTCCCCATTTTTATCATCCGGTGTTAATTACTCTTAGGGCTTGGCATTTAACTTACCTCTTGAGAATTATTTTGATAAGCTATATTCAAATGTGACTTTGATTTAATAACTGCACTAGTTTCCACCAGAAATCAGATATACACAAGATAATCTATTTATGGCACACAAAAAAATTGCAGATAAACTAAATGTGTGATATATTAAGCACTTGTTAAGTTGATTAATGTAATGGGTGGACTACTCTCCATTTTAAAAGATTTTTAGAATAATATTTTATGATATGGGAAATGTTTATACTACTAGAAAAAAGTTATAAAACATATAGTATTATTGTAATTTTAAAATCATGTGAATATGTTTGCATAGGAAAAGCATGCTTTGTACACCAAAAGGTTAATGGTGGTTATCTGAATGCTTACTTCATTTCACATTCTCTTATAAAAAACATGTTTGAAAGTTACTGATATTTTAAAATTCCCTAGTGTGTACATCTATGTAGGTGATTTCCCCAATACCTGTTTTGTCTTTTTTTTCTCCACACTGTTCAGATTCCTTTTTTGAAGCCTATTGCTTATTTAGGAAGGATAGACTAAGCCACTCACTATACAAATTAAAGATTCACGTATGACATTAAATCTTCCAAGTTTCTCAAGGAATTTCTTTTTGCAGTATTTAATACCCACTTCCTTTCTTTTTTCCTGTGGAAACGTGCATCTTAAAAATTATCCCCAGGAGCCCTGGCTGGCATGGCTCAGTGGATTGAGCACCAGCCTGCAAACCAACAGGTGGCCAGTTCAATTCCCAGTCAGGGCACATGCCTGGGTGCCTGGGTTGCAGACCAGGTCCCCAGATTGGGAGGCTGTCAAGAGGCAACCGATTGATGTTCCTCTCTTTCTCCCTCCCTCCCCCTTTCTCTCTAAAAAAATAAAAATCTTTTAAAAAATTATCCCCAGGAATATGGGGATAATTTCTTTTTATTAAAAATTGACCATTTTAACCATTTTTTAAAATGTACAGCTCTGTAACATTAGGTACATTGACATTATTCTGCAACCATCACCACCATCCATCTCCAGAATTTTTTCATCTTCAAAAACTGAAGCTCTGTATCCATTAAACATTAATTCTTCATTCTTCCCTTCTCCCAGTCTCTGACATCACTGTTCTGTGTTGTCTCTATAAATTTAATTATTCTAAAAGCCTCACATAAGAGGAAACATCCGGTATTTGTCCTTTTGTGTCAAATATTGTCACAAAAAATGCTTATTTCACTGTTTTCTTCTGACAGTTTTGAAATGTTTTTAGCTTCATATTGTACATTTTAAAGCTGCAAAGTTTCCCCTACCCCAGTTTGTTTAGAGTTACAAAGAAGATCGTTTCTGTCGTCTTTTAATGTTGCCATTAAAAAATAAAACCATTACATCAGACTTGTTACAAGTATCCACTGGAATCTAAACACCATAGTTATTTGATACTGTCTTGGAACATTAAAATAATACACTGACAAGCTTTTTTAGCAGTCAAAAATTTTACCTTGATTCTTTCTTACCCCTTCTTTCAATTTGTATTTCCAAACCACCTAATCCATAGCGTTTTATCTTGATTTATTTTTATGCTTTAAGGTTGTTTATTATACTTTTATACTTATAATACAAAATTTGAAAAATTTACTCACTGTGTATTGAATTATAATTATTACTATTCAGTTGATCAAAACAACAAAAACATTATTTTGATTAAAATGATGAAGTATATGAACTCCTAGGAGTTTATCTGTAAAACCCTACCCACCCAATTCATGTATCTATGAATAAGTCTTATTGCTGGAGACAGTGTTTGACATTAGTTCCATTGTTTTTATAATTTTAAGCACTGAGAAAACATTCATATTAAATAAGTAGATAGTAATGAAAGGAATTTTGTTTAGCAGTGCCATTCAGATTTTGGGCTTTTGTGCCAAAAATCTTTTGTCACAGTCTCCTAGCTTAATTAGGCCTCTTCAATTTTGTTGAAAGCCAAGAATTGGAAACCACTTAACAAAGGTAAAAGTTTTGTTGCCTAGCTTAGTCATTCGACTTCTTAACACCTACGCTTGTGTTTTCCTTTATTTGGCTTTAGGAAGGTTTCGTAATGCCTTGAGGCAGTACACAATAGAGAAGACTCAGAATGAGTGAGAGATAGGACCCTGGGTAAATGAAAGAGGATACCTTATGTTAAGGTTGCTTTCTTAGGCAGATCAGTTTTAAGAAAAAGTATACATGGAAGTTGAGAATCTGGAAATAGATTTTCTTCAAATTTTCCTTGGAAAGTCTTACCTTAAACTGCACCCATCCAAGATGTAGGTGTTTGTTTTAAAAATAATACACCTACCTAAAAGTATAGGTATCTTTTTTCAAACATCCTTAAATACAGGGGTGGGCAAAATTAGGTTTATAGTTGAGACAGTTTATCCTTGTATTATTTGTTAATTATTGTATTATTTGTATTACAACTGTAACCCTACTTTGCCCATGCCTATATAAAAAAAGTACACTGGAAAAATGCCAACAAATCATACAGACATCACTTAATATTTTATTAAGTACTTGTCCAATTCTTACAAAAATTCTTGTGGCATACATATCTTTATTTAACTTGTGAACCAATTAAATATTCTGCCCATACAAAATTAGGTGACAAAATGTCCTGATTTAAAAAAAAAATGAAGTAACAGGGGTAAAGTCGGTTGGGGGCAGACAAAGGATTAATGTTTCTTTTTCTTTTAAAAAAAAAAACAACACTGCTTATTTTTCTAAAATGATCAATTTTCAGAGTAGTAAGGTATTCAGTTATAGAGTTGTTAGGTACTTTTGCTTTCTCTTCTAATGTAAAAATACCCTTATACAAAAGGTGTATAGAACTTTTGAATAGTTTATGACAGAAATTTGTAGCTCATAAAGCAGTCCACTATCTTAGAGCCTATTGTGCAAAAGTAAAGTTACATAAAGCTCTGGTTTTTGCAAGAGGTTAACATACATACCTAAGCAGTCTTTAAATTCAGTGGTTGTATTATCTGGGTGAAATACATAGTAACTCCTTTTCATCTTCCAAGCCAAAATTATAATTCTGATAGTCCAGTTATTTTAAGGTTGCAACCAGTGACTGCACAGCAGACAATGGTGTGTGTGTATCTTTCTAATTTCTGTAGCCTTAAAATAAAGAAGTACTTACTGTTGTGAACTAGTACAAATGTTTTTTTTTTATCAGTGGTGGGAAATTTCACTATGTAGACTACTTGTTGTGAAATAGAACTATAAACCTCAGTAAGTTTTAATTAGCTATTTCATAAACATTACTAATATTTATCATAAGATGATTATTCCAAATATTAACTACTGGGTAGAGGCAAAATGATTCTGCACAAAAAACAGTTGTACAAATGTGTAATCAGAAAACTCTTAGGAGTCGTTTAACTTGGGAATTTTGACTTAAGAAAAACTTAGATGGTTTTCTTAATTTTTCTTGAAGGATGGGTCTTCAGTGAAGGAAGTTGAAACCTACCACCAGAAACGTGCTTTAAGGACTTTGAGAAAAAATGCACAGAATTCTTCAGATTCTAGTTTTGATAAGAATATGGAAATAACGGAAACACATGCTAATGGCAGGCATTTTACAAGGTAATACACCTGGGTGTTCGTTTGCTAATTCAAAATAGTTTTAAAGTAATAATTTAGGATTTGTGTTTCATTTTTAAGTGGTCATCAAGATTCCAGTGTTATAGACTGTTAGTTTAAGTAAAGTTGCCTTAAATGAGTATTACTGAATTAAAAATTTAATGTGTGCACAGATTTGTTTTTATTTTCATGTTCAACGACCATATTTGTGATATGCAAGTGACAAGATTGGTTGACTTGTTTATGATGTAGTGCTGCTTCATAATCTTTTTATAAAGTATTCAAAGTAGTAGTTATATTTTTCGAATTTTTGATTGCTTGCTATCAAATTTTTCATCAATTCTGAGTCATTTATTTTTCTGTGTTGGTGCTTCTAAAGCAGTCTTCACATAGGGGCAGAGAATGACCTTTTTTTTTTAAGTTGTCTAATGGGACTAGATGCTTTTTACATATTTTAATTTTGTTTCTTAAGAATCTTGAGGTGTAGGCGATATGAATCCCATTTTAATTCTCAGGAAATTAGTTTTAATAAATTAGGTCCTAACCCATGTGGCTCAGTTGGTTGAGCACCATTCTGCAAAGTGAAAGGTCGCAGATTTGATTCTGGTCAGGCACATGTTTAAATTGTGGGTTTAGTCCCTGAGTACCTATGGAAGGCAACCAATCATGTTTCTCTCTCACATGGATGTTTCTCTCCCCGTCTTTCTTCCCTCCTTACCCTCTTCCTAAAAATAAATAAATAAAATATTAACAATAAATAAATAAGTGTAATTAGGTAGTTCATTGAACTTGGGTTTGTTTGGTTCAGGGCAGATGGCAATTTTAAATCTAACTTTAATTAGTTCAGACCTTCACTTTTCTCCCCACTTGGGTGAGCCTAACATAAGTGGAGGGAAGTACCAATTAGAATGAAACTTATTCTTCTCATAAATTTCTCACAATGATTTAGAAGACCAGAACCCTCCCACTCTTAAATAGAATTTTTATTCTTATTTTGTGTAGTGGATTTTCTACATAAGTGAGATGGTGGCCCCTTCAGTTTTGTTCAGTTATTTAATACATATTTTGTTACATTTTTTAAAATCCTCACCTGAGGATATGTTTATTGATTTTAGAGAGGAAGGAAGAGAGACACAGAGAAAGAGATAACATCGTTGTGAGAGAAGAAGCATTGATAGGTTGCCTTCTGTACCAGGAATTGAACCCGCAGCCTAGGTATGTGCTCTGACTGGGAATCAAACCCAAAACCTTATTGGTGTACAGGATGACGCTCCAACCAGCTGAGCCACCCCGCCAGGGCATTGTAACATTGTTTTTATTTGTATCTTATTTCATCTAGTATTTATGGAATATTTACTACTGCATTTCATGGAGTCTAAGATAACAGCAATTGAAACACAATTTATGAAACAGTAAAAAGGAAAAAACACTGAAAAACTGTGATATGCCATCAATTGTAAGACATCCCAATTTGAGAGATGTTAAAATGGGAGGAAATATACAACTTTCAGAATTGATGACATGCAGTTTAAGCTGAAACTTGAAGAAGCCTTTTTGGGGTAAAAGGAATGGTCCGTGAATTCTCTATGAGAATTTTTTCTTCTTTTTTGTTATTTTTGCCTTTTTTTTTTTTTTTTGTCCTGTGAGAATTTTTAAATTTAGTTTACGATCTGAAGAAAAAAAATAAAACATTCTGGATCATCTAAATTGCTAGCATATGAAGAATAGCCATAAAATTTCAGACCTTATATTTGTGTTTACAATTAAATTGGCACCAAGTATTACTGCTTTAGTTATTTCAGGTTCATGAGATAAGAACTGAGTCTGACCTTAATACATAAATAATTCATCTGCTTCCAAGATAATGTCATGACATGCTTGCTATTCAAATGAAGGTTTGAAGCACCTCAACTAAAGAAGTGGATGAATTGAGTCATCACGAAACACAACAAACGTAACTTACCAAACTCGAGAAACTGATAGTAGTAAGACATTTCACACAGCGAATGGCTATTTTGTTTCTCCAAAACCTCATAATGTTAATATTTTTGTTGGTTGGTTTTATGGTTTTATTTATTTATATTAAATATAATTTATATCTAGTTTGGCTTATACATAGTCAAAAATTTAATGTTGTAAGTCCTCAAAATTTTAACCTTTAAAAGGACCTGGACATTATTTGCATCTGTGAAATATTGTGCTGGGCTTAATGCTTAAAAGGTTGTAAAGGAGTATTTTAAAGGTATTAAATGGTTTTTAAGTTGGATTTAAAGATAAGTGACTTAGATTTTTAAATTAGATTCCTTATAAAATATATTGAATTACTATCTTTTTTATTACTTTTAAATAGCAACTTTAATGAAATATAATTGACATACCATAAAATTCATGATTTTAAAGTGTATGATTCAGTGGTTTTAGAATATTCACAATATTGTGCAATCATCACCACTGTCTAATTTCAGAACATTTCATCAACCCCAAAAAACCACTGTGCTCATTATACTCCCACCCCAACCCCTTGGGAACCACTATTCTACTTTCTGTCTTTATAGACTTGCCTATTATGGACATTTTATATAAATGGAATAGTACAATATATGGCCATTGTGTCTGACTTCTTTCATTTGGTATATTGTTTTGAAGATTCATCTGTATTGTAGTATCTATTAGCACTTCATTCTTTTTATTGCCAAATAAGATTGCATAGTATGGATATATCACATTTTGTTTTATCTACTCATTAGTTGATGGACATTTGAATTGTTTCTATTTTTTTTGGCTATTACAAAATAGTGCCATGAACATTGGTTTACAAACTTGTGTGTGGACATAGAGTTTTGATTTATTCTTAATTTTATTTGTTTGTTTGTTTGTTTGTTTGATATATGCCTAAGATTTCATTGCTGAGTCAAATGGCAGCTGTTCTAATATTGAGGAACTGCCAAACTGTTGTCCAAAGCAGCTGTACCCTTTTACATTCCCACTAGTGAAGTGTGAGAGTTCCAATTTCTCCACATCCTCACCAGCAGTTGTCCTTGTCTGTCTTTGTTTTTAGTCATTTTAGTGGGTATGAAATATTTCATTGTAGTTCTGATTTGCATTTTTTGATAGTTAATAATGTTGAATATCTTTTCATGTGCTATTGACCATTTGTTTTCTGTGGAGAATTTGTCTTTAAAAATAATCTTCCGGTATTCAGATCATTATTACAAGGACTATTCTATATAACATCAGGGTCTGCTTGTCTAAGAATTACATAAAGTAGCTTATAGTAGTATTTTTGAAATCTGCTTTATATAGTTACCCCGTTTCTTATCAGGGTGACCCATTTGTTGGGTGGTTTGCCTAACTGTAGTAATCTCTTCTTTCTCTATTCCCTCTGACCCTTTCGTTTTCAGTCTATTTGGGGCTCAAAGACCAGAAGACTAAGGCTGTTAAAATAATACAGAAAGATTTGAGTAAGTGCCTTGAGGGCAGGATCTATATTTCTTTGTTTTTGGAGTTCTTAACTAGGGTCCAGTAGTTATAGTTTTCAGGGACACATGAAACCTCTGAAATATTGTTTAAACTTGTAAGTGTATATGCAGTTTTCTAGAGGTAAAGATTCATAGCTTTGATCAGATCTGCAGGTGTTAAAGAAACAGTTTACAACCCCTGTAGCGGAAAAGTGCTCCCCTTCCTCAATAGGCAAAAAAGAAAGAAAAAGGAAAACACCCCTTTAATCATTGTGTCCCTACCACCTAATAGGAGCCTGGTTATTGAAAGTAGACCTTCATGGTATGGAAGGAGGGGCTCTTTTTAGATGGGTCGCTCAAAGGTTTTTATTTTGTTCTTGCTTCTTACTTGTGTTCTAAGAGGTAAGGAATTAATGAAGACTTGCTTTGTTATGAGGATACATGAGCTAACTCTGCTGGTTAAGATGTTTTCATTATAAAGTGTCACATTTGAAATTGCTCATGTATAACCAGCCCACTAGAAAAGAGCTTGATACATAAGTAGATTAATAGGTATAGCTTATCCAAGTATGGAAAATTGATTCCCTAAAAATAAATTAATGAGACATATTGTTTTGTTTGCTCAGTGGGTTTTGGAAAAAAAGATGAGAGGAGGATTTTTTTTTTTTTAAAGCATTGGAACATATCCTTTCCAATTCAGTAGATTCTGTCTGCCAGTTTGTGGGATTATCTTGATGTATAAATGGGACTGTTTCTACATGTGACTGATAATGGAATATGTAAACTATAGCCAGCAAATATTCTTAGAAAAAAATCAACATGTCACAAAGGGACATTAGTTTTGTTTATAGTTATAAATTCCTCCAGGATGTAGTGCCACTATATCCCTGTGGTATAAGATACATTGTCTTATTTTTGCTCAATGCTCAGTTCAATTATACCTAAATACTTAGGCTAAAGATTTCATTTCTTGTTTTAAGTAAGATGCTTTAATTAATTCTGTTTAGTTAAGAGTTAATGCATATATCATTGAATTTCACAACAGGTTTCTCAGACTTTGTTTAGACATGATTTGCATAAACATACTCAGCATATTCTCAAGCTTTTTTTTTCCCCACTGGTTTTTAGGTTTTTATGTATCTACGAGTATTTACTCTCCAAGCTGATTTAACTTTTTGTCCTAGTTTGTATATTATGAAATATAGCCTTTAAAATTATGTCAGTTATTTTGAATTCTTTAATTCTTTTAAATATAGGCAATTGGCCAGGCAGCAGGCTAATAAAAAAAAAGAAGAGCACAAAGAAGGTAAGGAATGTTAAAGACATTTCAAATGTTTAAAATGTAATTAATATTTTGTTTACTAGTATATTGAGATATATACAATAGACTTCCCATATTTAAAGTATACAATTTATTTGCTTTTGACATAATATACCATGAAACCATCACCACAGTAAGGTAATGAAAATAACTGTCACTCCCCCAAAATTTCCTCAGGTCCCTTTAGTATCCCTCCTGTCTCCCCAAACTCCTCTCTGTGCCCTTCACCCCTGAGAATTCCTGAGTAGCCATTGATCTATTTTTTAGTCATTATCGATTTCTTTGAACTTTCTAGCATTTTCTACTTATAATTCTATAAGAATTATACAGTATGCATTCTTTTTTTGTCTGGCCACACAGCATAATTACTTCGAGAATCATCAATGTTGTTGCTTTTTGTTGCTGAGTAGTATTCTATTATATAGATATACCATAATTTGTCCTGTCCCATCCCCTCACCCTGCCAGTTTTATTGTGATATAATTGACCTATAATGTTGTATAAGTTTAAAGTGTACAAGGAATGTTGATTTGATACACCTCTATATTACAAAATGATTACTAATATAATTTAGCTAATATTTGCATTGTGTCACATAATTATTTTTTGTGGTGAGAACATTTAAAATCTACTCTCTTAGCAACTTTCGAGTATGTAATACAGTATTATCAAGTATAATCATTATGCTGTAGAGCCCCAGAACTTACTCATAGTTGGAAACTTGTGCTCTGAGCAACATACTCCCTTACCCCTTATCCCCCAATCCCGGGCAACCACCACCATTCTCGTCTTTTTATGAGTTCATCTTTTAGATTTCACGTATAAGTGATGTGATATGGTATCTCTTTTTCTCCATCTGACATATTAGCATAATGCCCTCAAGGTCTATACATGTTGTTGCAAATGGCAAGATGTCCTTCTTTCTGGTAATATTCCATTGTATATATACAACAGGTCCTCGAATAGTGTCATTTTGGTTAATATCATTTCTTTATAACATTGATGAGATACTGTAGGAGCTTAACTCTTCATATCAATTAACTTATGGTAAAGTTGGTTTCATTATGTGTCATTTTGCTTAAAGTCACAGACCCCATCAAGAGTGTTATATGAGGACTTACTGTATTCCATGTCTTCTTCACCCATTCACCCATTGATGAATACCTAGGTTGTTTCCCACAATTTCTTTATTCATCTTTTGTTGGATGTTGTTTCCAATTTGGGACTGTTACAAAACTGTTTTGCACATTTGTGTCTAAGTCTTTGTATTATATATCTTCCCATTTCTCTTGAGAATGGAGTGGCTGGAACATATGGTAGGAGTATGTTTTAACTTTATTTTGGTTTTCTAATATTTTAAGAAAGGTTAAGTTCAAGATACTATACTTTTGTTAGGTGAAAGTATAACTGTTCAATTGTTCATTTCAGAATTCTTTTATAAATGCTTTTCTTTCAAATCTTTCCCTATATTTGTATGTATGTGTCTGTGAATAAAAAGCAATTCCAGTTACTCGGTCACTGAGGACTAGAAACATTGTTCAGACTACAGAACACTTGCATGAAGAGAATGGCGATGTTGAGGTTCGACGCAGTTGTAGGATTAGAAGCCGTTACAGTAGTGTGAACCAGTCTGTGCTATTTGACAAACTTATAACAAAGTAAGTAAAAAATTATTTATTTATTTATTTTAAAAAATATTTTATTCATTTATTTTTAGAGAGGGAAGGGAGGGAGATAGAGAGAGAGAGAAACATCAATGTGCAGTTGCTGGGGGTCATGGCCTGCAACCCAGGCATGTGCCCTGACTGGGAATCGAACCTGCGACACTTTGGTTCGCAGCCCACGCTCAACCCACTGAGCTATGCCAGCCAGGGCTGTAAAAAATTATTTAGATCAAGATGATTTAAGTGACAAAAACTTTCTGTTGGGGAGAGATCATAAATTTCGACTAGCCTGAATATTTAATGCATTTAGTTTATTTAAAGCATAAAGGAGGATGATTGCTAGAGAACTTTGTAATAATCCTATATACTCATACATATTTAAAGTCTTTGAAAAATGTAGAAAATATTTTTATACAAGTAAATCAAGAAACAGATATTTTAAAAATTTTATTTTATTATTTTTATTTTTAGAGAAAGGGGAAGGGAAGGAGAAAGAGATGGACAGAAACATCAATATGTGGTTGCCTCTCACACACCCGCTGCTGGGGACCTGGCCCACAACCCAGGCATGTGCCCTGACTGGGAATCAAACCAGCTACCCTTGGTTCACAGGCTGGCACTCAGTCCACTGAGCCATACCAGCCAGGAAACAGATATTTAAAATGCCAGCACTCAATATACAGTGGAAGGAAAATTAAGTGTTTAATATACTATTAATATTTTAAAGTTTTAGCTTATATTTATATTAATTTTTTTAAAGCACCGCTGAAGCTGTACTTCAAAAAATGGATGACATGAAGAAGATGCGTAGACGGCGAATGAGAGGCCTGGAAGACTTGGCAGTGTTTAATGAAACAAAAGAAGTAAATATATTCTTCCATTAAGGGGATGTTTTAATCTTCAGTTTAACCTTTTCTGTAGTACCTATCCACTTTTGGTTAAATTGGTCATCTTATTCAGTATTTGTTTGATCAGGCACTAGTTATTGCTGGAGTTGTAAGAGTTTATAGCTGTAAATATCTTTATTTTAAGCAAGATTGGAAGATCCTACTGAATTTTTAAAATAAATATTCTAAATGTTAATGGCTTTTATTTGAACATTCTCAGGGGAATCTTAATATGTACACAAGAGGAAAACGAAAAGGTATTCAAAGAACTGATGAAGAAACAACTGATAATCAAGAAGGCAGTGTGGGTTAGTCTTTTCTCTTCTATCTTCTGAGTCTGAATTTCAGTATTTTTATTTAGTAGGATGCATCCTTTTTATTTAGAAGTTGTGAGGATTGGTCATAATTTAAAAAGAAAGTGAGGGCAGAGAAGTGTTTCAAAGGGTGGTATATTTTGTTTGGGAAAGTATCTGAAATCAACAGTTCTAAAGCAAAACTGTTTTGCTTGTGTAATACATCTACAGACAACATACATATCTCTCTACCTATTTTAATTAATTAGTTAATTAACATTTAGAGAGAGGGGTTGGAAGAAAGAGAGGGAGAGAAGCATCAATTGGTTGCCTTCTATGCATGGCCCAGCTAGGGACCAATCCTGAAACTCAGGTATGTACCCTGAGTGGGAATCAAACTGGCAACCTTTTGCTTTGCTGGACAACACACAACCACCGGAGCCACACCGGTCAGGGCTCTCTCTACCTATTTTAATTTTAAAAAGAAACTATTAAAGTTTGACTCTTCTCTTTAGGACTTATTACTGTACCCTAGCAGAATTTTTCTTGAGTGAAAACCAGTTTTCTGAAGTGCATTTTATTTTTTATTTTTTAAAATATATTCTTTTTTTTAATTATTATTTATTTATTTATTTATTCTTAGGGAAGGGAGGGAGAGAGAGAAAGAGAGACATCGATGTATGGTTGCTGGGGGCCATGGCCTGCAGCCCAGGCATGTGCCCTGACTGGGAATTGAACCAGCAATGCTTTGGTTTGCAGCCCATGCTCAATCCACTGAGCTACGCCAGCCAGGGCCTGAAGTGCATTTTAAATGTTTGGTGTTTTATATTATCATAATCACCTGTATTAATGAAATTAGCAGTAATAGCATAAAGTTTAATTTGGTACTGACAGTAGCCTTTAAATTTCTTTCTCTACTTTCCTTCCTCTATTTGTTTTTATTTTTTTAAAATATTTATTTATTTATTTTTAGGGAGAGGAGGGAGAAAAGAGGGAGAGAAACATTGATTGGTTGTGTTTCATACTTGCCCTGACCAGGGACTGAACCTACAACCTAGCCATGTGCCCTGACTGGGAATCAAACTGGCGACCTTTTGCTTTGCGGAACTTTGCCCAACCAACTGAGCCACACTGGTCAGGACTCTAGATGTTTTTAATTCTACAATTTTTTTACTTCATTTAAAAGAAATTTTAATATTGTGAAAGAATTAGATTCTTTTTTTGAATTTATAAGTGAATACATTTTAACAGGAGTATCTTTTCTCAGTTCCCCATGTTAAAAATTGTCAATGTTTTGGTGAATATCCTAAAAGTAAATATTTCTTAATTGTAGAATCATCTGAAGAAGGTGAAGACCAAGAAGATGAAGATGATGGTGAAGATGAAGATGATGGTGAAGATGATGATGATGATGGTGAAGATGAAGATGATGGTGAAGATGATGGTGAAGATGAAGATGATGAAGATGAAGAAGATGGAGAAGAAGATAATCAGAAACGGTATTATCTTAGACAGAGAAAAGCTACTGTTTACTACCAGGCTCCACTGGAAAGTAAGTGCTATATTTGTTTATCTAGGAGATGTAATTGTATATTACCTTTGTTTTTACAAAGGTAATACATAATTCCTCTATTATTATTTTTTAAGTTTTTATTTTGCGTAATGCTCATGGCTATTATCCTTCTTAATCAATCCTAAAAGTGCAAGGTGTCAGTTTTTCCAAATATAGTTAAATTTTAGCTTTGACTAAATCAAATAATTGGCCTATTTATTATCTTAAATTTTACAGCCTTTGACTTAATTTATTTTGTAAGTTATGTAAATAAGACTGCTTTTGATTAAGGTCATGCCTTAATACTTATGACATACACATGCAAGGCTGATACTCAGCTGTTATCCATCAGTGTAATCATAACTGTTTATGGCCAGCATATGTTTTGGTTGTTGGTGTTTTTCATAGCAGCCTTGTAGACATAAATGATTTAAAACATGAACTATAAAATATTTAGTGTTTTCATGGCAGGGCAGCACCTGTGTAAGTATTTATATGAAGAGCAGAATTACATCCAAATATAATTATGTGTCATGTACATCTTACTCTTTTCTTAAGAACCTCGTCACCAGAGAAAGCCCAACATGTTTTATAGTGGCCCAGCTTCTCCTACAAGACCAAGGTATCGATTGTCTTCTGCGGGACCAAGAAGTCCTTATTGTAAACGAATGAACAGGTTTGTTCTGAAAAGTGACTGATTTATGACAACATAATTGTGGCTATGTTAAGGTAGGAATCTAGCCTTAGGATTGGGGATGTTATGATACAATTCCAGGATCATATATGGGAGAGTTAACTCTGCCTTTGGTGCTCTAATTCCTACTACTGCTGACTAGTTCTTGCTTTTGCTTCCACTAATAGGAATTGTTAATAACTACCATGGTAAGGTAATTTACTACATTGGTCCCCACTTTAGTGACAGAGAGCTACCTTTACTTCAGTGTTTACTGTATTCCTGGCTTGGTATTAAGCATTTTGGGTAGACTGTTTTCTTTAATCTTTGCATTAAGTTAGATGTAGGTATAGTGTTATCTTCACATACTATTACAGACATATTTTCCTATGATGACAAACACTGTAAGCTACACAGCTTCTAAACTTATGACTCCAACTATCTTTTTCTGTATTGATTTTAAAAATTTGTTTCATATACTAGGAAAATAATTTTTTTGCTATTTAAATTATTTGTAAGTTTATTTTTATTTCACATTCCAGCATTTGTTGCTTGTCTGTCATATTTAAGTTCAAAGAGGTAGTTCTTGTTATTTCCTCATTCTCCTGAATAATAAAACGTTTTCTGATCCATTAGAACTCTCTGGATAATAGTAGCATTATAGTAGTTTGTGAATAAGAGCTTGTTGGTGAAAACTAAAACTGCAGGGAAAAAATGACACTGGTATGGGAGGTGGTACTTTTTTCTTAATAATAATTTGCTCAGAAGTAAGATTGAAGTCCTCTGAGACTTCAGCTCTGTGAACAGTTCTTGGAAGCTCCAAGAAGCAGACTATCTGATCATGTTTTGGTCATGCAAGTTAACACCTCTGTAGGTGCTGACAAACTCCTAGGAAAAATATAAAGTACAACCTGTGTCTCTGGATATTTTAATTTCATTTTCAGAATGCCAAAATCACAAGTGTACATTCTAGATTACTTGTTTCATTAATCCCTTTTCTTACACCTAGAGCCATCCTTTTCTTACACTTAGTATCCATCCTTTGATGGAGGACCAGGAAGGCAAACTCAACCTGCCAGGGTTGTCCAAGATAAATTGCACTTAACGGAGGCAGCACTGTTGGTACTCTTCATAGGCCGCCTATAATATTGTTAAAGACTGATATTTTGATAGTGAAAAAATTTAATGATTTTCAGAAAAGGAGACTAAGATGTATTGCTCCCTGGAATCCCCAACAATCATAGGACTCAGAGCAGCTCTTGGTTGACAGACTGAAGGGGCAGATCTGTATTTGATCCAGCAGAAATGAGAGGCTGGCAGTTACTTTGAGATTTAATTTTTTCTCATCTTTTCTGGGTTTGTGTTCCTGGACTAACATACTTGTTGACTAACTACTTCTATAATCAGCACCTACAATGTGTCTTGCAGAAAGTAGAACTTTTTTCCCCTTTTGGTTCAGTCTAGTCTTTCTCTCTGTAAAGTGTCTCACAATGTTGTACAGCTCCTTGGGTGCAGGATTTTTCCCCCTGTTAATTATTTAACAAATGTTTCAATACTACTATGTGCCAAATACTGTGGATATAAAAATGATGAAGCCAGGATTGCTACCCTTGGATGTCATAAACTAGTGGAGGGTCCTGACACATTTAAGTTAAAGTATGAACTAAGATTTAAGATGTATCCTGGAGTCATATTATTTGACTTGCTGACCTTTTTGGTGTTCATTAAACTTTTTCTTTTTCATCGGGATATATTCATACACTGTTTAGTTCACCCACTTAAAGTATATAATTCAGTAGCTTTAATATATTCAGAGTTGTGAAACTATTACCACAATAATTTTAGAACATTTTTCTTGCCTCAAAAAGAAACCTATACTCTTTATATCACCCCAGCTCTTCCAGTACTTTCAATATTCCCATCCCTTCAGTCCTAAGCCACCACTAATTAACTTCCTGTCTTTATAGACTTGCCTAGTTTAGATATTTCATGTAAGTAGAATCTCTTGTGACTAAGTTTCTTTCGCTTTGTATAACACATTCAAAGTTCATCCACATAGTAACATGTATCAGTACCTTGTTCCTTTTTATTGCCAAATGAGATTCATTGTATAAATATATCATATTTTGTTTATCCATTTATCAGTTGATGGACATCTGAGTTGTTTCCACTTTTGACTGTTAATGAATAATGTTACTGTGAACAGTTCTACACAACTTTTTGTGTGGACATATATTTTCATTTTTCTTGGGTATATACCTGGAAGTGGAACTGCTGGGTCAAATGCTAACTATATTTAATGTTTCAAGGAAGTGCCAGATTGTTTTCCAAATGGCTGCCTCATTGTACTTTCCTACAAACAATATCCTAGAGTTCTAGTTTCTCTGTGGCTTTTCTGACACTTGTAATTACCTGACCTTCTTATCAACTTCAATCCTTTTTTTTTTTCTTTCTTGGCAAGGTGTTGTGAACATCTCGTTTTTTTCTAACAACCTTAATGATAGTCATTTTGCTTAGCCTTTTTATTTTTTTCATCAAGAGGCCAGCTTCTGTTTACAGTTCATGTTCTACAGCTACTTAAGCATGGAAACAAAGCACATGTTCAAAAATCATTTGAACATTGCTTTTAGTATCCATGGCAAATGGTTAAGAAACCTTTCAACCAAGTGCAGGATCTTCAAAGGGTCTTTTGGCAACTTGTCATATTGGAGCTTCAGGAATACTGCCTTTAAGCAGGATTTTTCTTCCTTATGGTTGATAAGCTCTAGTCCACCAATTTTCAACTGGTGTGCCACAAGAATTTTTAAAACATGCAATTCCTCAGTATTCAGTCTGAGGCACTGGCCTCTTTTCCTTTAGACTATCAAATGAAAAAATGACAGCCACCAACACAACAAAAGCCACCTGTTGTGAATGAATCAAAATTATACTTTTGTTTGTCATGTCGGCAAAAAAATATATTTCTTGGTGTGCCACTGAATTTTAGTAATTTATGTGTGCCATGAGATGAAAATGTTGAAAAATCACTGCTCTGGTCATCTAAGGCTTATTCTTTTGCTTCAGTCTGCAGTTTCTAGAATGAGCCTAGTCCCTTTGAATAAAAAGATAATATAAGGGGACTAAATGGTAATGGGGAAAAAAAGATGAAGATGGAAAAAAAGAGAGAAGATAACATAATAGCACACTGCTTTACCAATATTCCAGAGTGCTTCTTCTTTGTTGTTAAGGACCTAAACTGGCAACTCTGGATGTTCTAGTTAGGTTCACAATGCTTGGCTATGCCAAATTTTTCAAAGGTTTTTAGTAAAATGAAAAAAAAAAATGAGTGTGGGTGTGTGTGTTTATAATCCTTTTTAAACTGAAGTAATGGCCTTTCTACAGTATGGAGTAATTATGAAGAACCTGGACCTATCACTGGAACAGCTTAGGTTGCCATCTCAGTTCTACCACTTATTAGTGATCTTTGGCAAGTTACTTAGCCTCTCTGTACTTCAGCTTTTTGATCTGTAGAATGGGGATAATAGCACCTATCTCATTGTATTTCGAGAATTAGATGAGTTAATACATATAAAGCATTTAAAATAGTATCTAGTACATATTAAGGGCTACATGTGCTTGTTATTATAACCATATTTTAATGTTTAAAAATAATCCCTATTCACAAATCAAATGGAAATTTTGTGACAATCCACAAAGTCTTGTTGTTTGCTTATAACTTTATGAGTTTATGAAATAAACAACTGGAAATCACCAGTGTAGAGTTGTACAGAATGAGAATTTTTGAAATAGATAGACATGAATTTGAATTCTGACATCATCATTGACTGACTCTGATATTTTGAGTATGTTCTTTAAACTCTGGTCCACATTTGCTCTGACTGTAAAATGAGCCCACTAATAAGTACTTTTCCAAAGTTTTAATTAATATTGAATGAGATGTGACAACTACTTGGTACAAGGAGCGCTTAGTAAATATTAGTTCCTTTTTTAAATTTGAAGTTAGTCTTAATTTTATGTGAATGCATACTGAATTCACATGCAGTTATGTGAATTATATGACTATAAGTTAGTCTCTTTGTAATATTAAGGTTAATATTAGATAAGTTAGTTTTTTATATAAAATTTCAGACTTGTACTAGATAGTTTTAGTTTCAGACTGATCACAGAAACGCTCTCAGGCATGTTTTGGTAGGTGGACAGTGGAGGATTACATTCTCACTAATATCTGTGTTTTCACAACCTGTCTTTCAAAACCCTCGGAGCCATTTATATGTTCACAAGTTGGAATTTTTAGAAGGCTTTACAAAGGTAACATGCATCAGAAACATCTTCAGCAGTGTCTGGGCCAGCACTACTTAGTCACATACATTAATTCTATTGCAAAACATAGGAATAATTATAGTAAATGGGACAAATGGAGACTATGGATTGCCTTTATGACATTTCAGATCATGTTTTACTGCTAAGTGTTTAGTGGAAAAGCTTGTTTTCAGAGTTTTTTAGGTACAAGCTTTTGGACTTACATAATGCAGATAATAGATTGTGAACCTTTTATATTTTTGGAAATACCTGCTTACAATGATTGCACTCTGACTCAGAAGAAGCTCTAGACTCTGTGCCAATGGAATAAAGGATTTTTTCCAGCCAGGTTCTTTGCCGTTCCCCTTTACCGTTCCCCTTTACCCCCACTGGTCTGTTGCAATTGTCCAAAGGTAGAAGATATTTAAAATTTTTTTGAATATTAGTAGCACTTGGAATCTTTATTTAATACTATCAACTAGCCTAAGACTTTGATTTTAATTTTTTTTTGTAAGTGAGAAGACTGAGGTTTATATGGATTTGGTAACTCATTCACATTCACAAAGCTGTCAAGTGTCATTGTGAATTTACAATTGATGATATAGATAAAAGGCCATATTATTTCTACCTGTTTCCTAGCATTTTTTAAACCCTAGTTTACATAAAAATTCTCATGCTCTCCTTTTAAAATTATTTAATATGTCAAAATAGGTCACTCCCTTCCAAATATGAAATTATATGTAGTATAATATTGAAAATAATTTTCTAAAATTACATTCCCCAGAATTCTAATACCCTCTTTATCTCACCTTTCTGTGAGGATAACCGATTTATATAAAGACTAAAAAAAGCCTGGACCAAATGCTGTCTTAGTAAATAAACATTGGTGGTCACTCTACCACAGTCTTTTATCTTTTTTCCCCTTTCATCTAAGTTATCCAAGTCTTTTATTTTCTTTCAAAGGTTCAACCAACTAAACTTACTTTGTTGGTTCAGCAAATGTATTCATTTTAAGATAAACCATCTTGCATCATTAGGGATTTCTGATGTTTGCACCTTATACCTTTTATTTTCCCTGCCCTTCATCATCATTTTAGTGTTCTTCTTTACTTCAGGCGAAGGCATGCGATCCACAGTAGTGATTCTACTTCATCTTCCTCTTCTGAAGATGAACAACACTTTGAGAGGCGAAGGAAAAGGAGCCGTAATAGAGCTATCAACAGGTAAGTGTTATATTGATGCCTTTTAAAACTATCACTTTTTTTTTTGAAAAGTGGTGAGAAAGCTGAATAATTTGGGAATAGGTATAGCTTAATGGATGAAAAAATTATACAGTAGGTTAATATAAGGCCAGAATACTGTCTTGTTTGAAATATTTAGTTGAAACTCATATTTTACTGTTTAACCATTATATAGCTCAAAATGGTGCTTGTTAAACACTGATTTGAGGAAATACACTCCTTTTTAAAATAACAATAATGCATTTTTATTATAGAATACTTAAGGAAGATTAAAAGGTTTACTTATTTCATAACTCCTTATAAGTTCACATATAGTAATCAACTTATTTGTAACCAAGTCACATACAGTAATCAAATTACTTGACTCTCACGATAATTACATGAAGTAGATGGGGCAAAGATCATTGCTATTTTACAGATGTGGATGGGTAAATGAAAAATGCAGTGTTTCAATTCTAATATGTTCTTTGAGCAGAACAGAAATGCTTAAAGTAATTGGAACATAATAATGAAGCAGTGTGCAAATCAACCACTCTTTGTATCCTAAACACTATTCTTTTTTTTTTTTTAATATTTTATTTATTTATTTTGAGAGAGAGGGGAAGGGAAGGAGAAAAAGAAGGAGAGCAACATCAGTGTGTGGTTGCCTCTCACACACCCCCAACTGAGGACCCAGCCCACAACCCAGGCACGTGCCCTGAATGGGAACTGGACCAGCAACCCTTTGGTTCACAGGCCGGCATTCAATGCACTGAGCCACATCAACCAGGGCGAAGCGCTGTTCTTGTATCATATTAAATCTGCCTTGTCCAGTATGGTAGCCACTAGCCACATGTGGCTATTAAGCACTTGAAATGTAGCTAGTCTGAATTAAGATACACATTATAAGTTTTTATGAAAAACACACTCTTGGATTCCAAAGATTTAGTATAAAAAAGAATGTAAAATAGCTCAATTTTTAAAATACTGTACATGTTGGAGTGATAATACAGGATTTTAGATATATTGTGATAAATAAAATATATTATTAACCTTTGTTTATTGTAGCTAATAGAAAATTTTATGTTACTTTTTTGGCTTGAATTTTATTTCTCATAGACAGCAATAAGTTAAATCATCCAAAAGCTGTATACTTAGACTACTTGAATTTTTCTTTGCTTTTATTCATAGAAATGTGCATCTAATCCTATGGTTTTATATTATGCAGTTATATTTCTATTAAGAATTACTTAAGACATACCCTTTAAAAATCTGCAGTTGAAAAGTTATCCATCTTAGATTTCAGAGTATAAAGTTCTCATGGAATTTGGGGATGGCAAGAATTGTGCCTTGGGGTGAGCATGGTGCTTTCACTTGTGTTTAGTTGCAGTAGTTAATCTTTGCTAAGGCATTCTGGTACAAGTATCTTAAACTCTAACATAAGCAGTTTTCCTTTTTCCATCAATAAAACAAGCACGGTTGTCTAGGCATATTCTTTGTGACATACCATAACTGTTTTTGAAAGTAGTTAATAGGAAAGTAGTGATTCATTCTTGCTTGAGAGGATTGACATGAATCCAGATGTTGGTGGACTCTGTTTTGCTGAGAGGTATTATAGCAAAGTTGTTGCAGGTCTGGAAACAACTTGGGTTTGATTTCTAGACCTGTCACTTGCTATTGTAGTTTGTAACTTTGGGCATTTTAGTTTACCTTACCTGTGGCTTTATTTTCTTTGAAAAGAAGGGAAATAATAATACCTACTTCGTTAATATATCTAAACCATCTAAAACTAAAACAGTGTCTGGCAAATGGTAAACATTCCATATACACATTAGACATGATCATTATAAATGTATATTGACACTGTCTGAATTTTCAACTGTAAATTACAGCAGTGTGGCTTCTTAAAAATTGGTGTTTTCATTTGGCTGTGTATCTTTAATGATAAACTTTAGATATAACTGTTTTCTAACACAACTTCTCAACATATATAGAAAATGAGGAAGTCGAAATATATCTTAAGATTGCTCTAGTTGAAATTTAATTTTTTAAAATTTTTAAGAAAAATGCCCATATTTTAACATGGCATTTGGAGAAGTGTGAGGTTTTGGTTTTAATTTTTTCCTAATCTTTTTAAAATAGGTGCCTCCCGCTAAATTTTCGGAAAGATGAATTAAAAGGAATTTACAAAGATCGAATGAAAATTGGAGCCAGCCTTGCTGATGTTGATCCAATGCAACTAGATTCTTCGGTGATTACTGTCCTAAAATGTGTCCTTGAACTGTAATTGTGTTCTTTGTTTTAGTTTAGTTTTAAAGTTAAAAAAGAAGCCCTGGCTGGCATAGCTCAGTGGATTGAGCGCGGCCTGCGAACCAAAGCATCGCAGGTTCGATTCCCAGTCAGGGCACATGCTTGGGTTGCAGGCCACGGCCCCCAGCAACCACATATTGATGTTCCTCTCTCTCTCTCTCTCCCCCTCCCCTCTCTAAAAATAAATAAATAAAAATCTTTAAAAAATAAGTTAAAAAAGAAACTACGCTTTTAAAATCAGAAACTTTAATTTTTTTGAAGTATTTTTATTGATTATGCTATTACATTTTTCCCAGTTTTTCCTCCTTTATCCCCCTTCCCCTCTGGCTCCCCCAACTGTCCCCACTAAAATACTGAAATACCCTCCAGCTTCCCCGCCACCTTAGTGCATGCCCATGGGTTGTACATAGAAGTTCTTTGAGTCCTCTGTTTCCTATACCATTTTTTATATCTCCCCATCTATTTTATGCCTACTAATTATTCTTCTTCTTCCTTGTACCTTCGCCTCCCATTCCTCCCTTTCCCGTCCCCACTGAAATCCCTCTGTGTGATGTCCATTTCTCTGATTCTGTTCCTGTTCTGGTTGTTTGCTTAGTTTTTGTTTTCGTTGTTTTTCTTTTAGGTTCATTTGTTGATAGTTATGAGTTTGTTGTCATTTTACTATTCATATTTTTTATCTTTTTCTTAGATAAGTCCCTTTAACATTTCATAAAAGAAGGGCTTGATGATGAATTCCTTTAACTTGACCTTATCTGGGAAGCACATTATCTGCCCTTCCATTCTAAATAATAGCTTTGCTGGATAGAGTAATCTTGGATGTAGGTCCTTACCTTTTATGAATACTTCTTTCCAGCCCCTTCTTGCCTGCATAGTTTCTTTTGAGAAATCAGCTGATATCCTAATGGGTACCCCTTTTTAGTAACTCTCTCCTTTCCCCTTGCTTCTTTTAGGATTCTCGCATTGTCTTTAATCTTAGGTAACTTAATGATGATGTGCCTTAGTGTGTTCCTCCTTGGGTCCAACTTCCTTGGGACACTCTGAGCTTCCTGGACTTCCTGGAAGTCTATTTCCTTTGCCAGATTGGGGAAGTTTTCCCTCATTATTTGCTCAAATAAGGTTTCGATTTCTTGCTGTTGTTGTTCTCCTTCTGGCATCCCTATAATTCAGATATTGGAACGTTTCAAGTTGTCCCAGAGGTTCCTAAGTCTCTCTTTTTTTATTTTTGTTTCTTCCTTTTCCTCTGGATGGATGTTTATTTCTTTAGTTCCAAATCGTTGCTTTGAGTTCTGGTTTCCTCCCTGTCACTGTTGGTTCCCTGAATATTTTGTTTGATTTTACTTTGGGTATCCTTCATTTGTTTTTTCATTTTTTCGACACAGCTCAATCAGATCTATGAACATTTTGATTACCAGGGCTTTAAATTCTCCATCAGATAGGTTGGCAGTCTCCTCATCACTTAGTTCTGAGGTTATGCTGTGTTTTTTTTATTTGGGCCGTATTTCTTTGTCTTGGCGCAGCTGATCAGAAACTTCAATTTTTATAGACTTTTTTCTTTTCTTCTCTTCATCTTCATCGTCATCTTCAGGCCACAACTAAGATACTGTTACTCGGTTGACTGTGTGTAGGTTGTGTATAGTTTGGGCATGGAATGTCATTTTAATTTTGATTCCAAATCTAAGAATGTCGATGTTTCTCTTCCATTACCAGGTACGATTTGATAGTGTTGGTGGTCTGTCTAATCACATTGCAGCTCTAAAAGAGATGGTGGTATTTCCATTACTTTATCCAGAAGTCTTTGAAAAATTCAAAATTCAACCTCCAAGGTAATTTTACTATGCATTTTATTTTAGCCAAAATCTGTGCTATGCTACTATTATCTAGAAAGATAATGTTTCTCTGTTGAAATTTTTCAGGTCTACTCTAAATTTATATATTTTTCCTACAAGGTCCTGGGTGCTTTGAATATATTTATTTTCTTAATGTTTAACATGAAAAATGGTTTCAAAATTGATTCTCCATGAGTGGGGGGGGGTTCTTTTTTTTTATTAATATTTTATTTATTTATTTTTAGAGGGGAAGGGAAGGAGAAAGAGAGGAAGAGAAACATCAGTGTGTGGTTGCCTCTCATGTGGCCCCCACTGAGGGCCTGGCCTGCAACCCAGGCATGTGCCTTGACCGGGAGTTGAACCAACAACCCTTTGGTTCATAGCCCGTGTTCAATCCACTGAGGGGGCAGGGAGAAGATTCTTTATGATTTTTCAAACATTTAGTGAAATTCCTTTCATACATACTTCTTTCCATTTTTAAAATTGTTTATAATTGTACATAATTTTAACAATCAAATTGTACTTTAAATCTTTTGTAGAAGGCAGTAGGCCCCTCCCACCCTTCTTATTTCAATTCTTACTTCTATGGATACATTGATTTAAGTAAACCTTTTTAGATTGGTAAGCTTTTTTACGTTTACATTATGAACGTTGTGTACTATAATCACTATTAAAACATTCGTAAATTCAGTTTTTTTCATTTGTTTTTTATTTATAATTGACAGTGTTATATTAGTTTCAGGTGTGTAATGGAATATTAGCTGATCCATAAAAATTTTTTTTAATCTGATATTAATATTAAATAACATTTACTTATGGAAATGTTGACGAAACTACCATATTTTGCCATGTATAATGTGCACCTATGTTTTTGTGTACGTTATACACAGTATTATTATACCCATGGTATGTAATCATTATTGTGCCCTTATTTTTCCCTCAAAAATTTGGGCAAAAACGTTTGTACTACACATGGAAAAATATGGTATCTAGTTAAAGTAATTTAGTGAACTTAAAGAATTAACTCCCTGAAATTTTTTTTCTTTCTCCTTCTTTACAACATATATTTACTCCCATAAAAATCAAATATATGATTGTGTAAACTTATTTTTATATATGATCTTTATATTTTAATGGCTAAATAATATTTCATTATTGTGGTTGTGTCACATCTTATTTGATTTTGCTGTTGCTGGCTTGTTTTCTCCTAACTTCATTATCACAAATGTCAATATCATGAACATTTCATTACTTCATCTTTGTGTGAATTCTTAATTCTGTCTTTAAGATATAGTCTCACAAATTAGATTCTTGGCTCAGTAGATAATATTTTAAAAATCTATACCTGCCTTGGTTTTTGTACATTGAAATCATTGTTGCTTATTCCATTTGTATATCTGATTGTTTTCTTACTATGTGCTTTGTTTTTTACACCTGCATTTGATTGTCCCTATCCTACTATTTTTTATTAACTTTTAATAGTTTTCATCCATCACTTTTGATTTTTTTCCCTACAATTCTTACTTTGTCATTTCTGTTTTTCTGGGATTTTCTTTAAGTGTTTCTTTTCAAGAGCAGTTATTTGATGACCTGAAATTGATTATTTTCCATTACTTTGGTAGAACTTAATTCCTGGCGTATCCTATTTCTATACCCTTTTTACATTTCTATTAAGTATTATTAGTATAGCCCATTTTTCTCGGAATTCTATTCTAAGAGCAACAGGTAACTTTGGAACTATGTGAAAAAATAGTAAGTTACCCTGTTGCAGTGATGTCACAAAATTTATTTTAAATTATTTACATTGTCTTAGTCCTTACTGTCCAACCACCATTATTTCTTTAAGTTCTCTCTTCTTTTATCTCTTTCTCCTGTTCAATTCCAAGATGTTTTCTTATAAAATTTTTGGTGTCATGTTCCTGAGATTGAGACCAAAGATTGTAGAAGAAACCAGTTATTCTTTCCCCTGATACATTACAAAGTAAACTACCAAGTCCTTTTTTTTAAATCTTTGCCTGAGAACATACTCATTGATTTCAGGGAGAGGGGAAGGGAAGGAGGAAGAGAGGGAGAGAACACTGGTCTGTTGCCTTTTACATATGCCATGACTGGGATCTGAACTTGCACCTAGGCATGTGCCCTGACTAGGAACTGAACCTGCGACCTTTCGGTTTATGGGAACGTCACTTTAAACAACTGAGCCACACTGGCCAGGGCAACTATCAAGTCTTTTTAAGTGTAACTTCTATGCAAGGAAAGGTAATATGAGCATAATGAATATATAAAAGAAAATATGTTTTAAATAAAGGGTTTCATTTAGTCTTAATATTAATTTTTAGTAGCAATATTAATTACCAGATTTTAAGTTGTGTTTTCTGAATTAAAATATTTCAGTTGTCTCACTTACTTTTTTTATTCACTAATTAAGTGCACTTATGGAATTAGTTTGTAATTTTGTTTAAATAGTCCTTTCTTAATGTAGTACTGATAAAATAATACTTTTTCTTTTACAGAGGTTGTTTGTTTTATGGTCCACCAGGAACTGGAAAAACTCTGGTTGCTAGAGCTCTTGCCAATGAGTGCAGTCAAGGGGATAAGAGAGTTGCATTTTTCATGAGGAAAGGTGCAGATTGTCTGAGTAAATGGGTAGGAGAGTCTGAAAGACAGCTACGATTGCTATTTGATCAGGTATGATGATAAAATTTGTCTATCTAGATTTATAGTCAATGTAGATGTAAGTATGTAAGGATTAGATAAATCTTGTGTTTAATTATTTTCATAGAAAAAATTTTAGAAGAATTAGACCAAATATAATCTTCCCAGATTATTTTTCTTTGTGTGTTAAGATAACACTAACCTATTAGGGGCAGTTTTGTAATAAGAAGAGAAAGGAATAACTAGATCTCAGTTCTTTGTGGTCTTAGAACCTAAGAAAGAGCATGGTGGTTTTGTACTTAGGGAGATGGTAGTGGTTAGTTATGTCTCGATATGTGAGAAGATTAGTTTTGTCCTAGATGGGCTTTAATTTCTCATCCCAGATTGTATTGACAGCACATTGTAAGATAATACATTCTGATCTACTGAGGCACAATGCTGCAAATGCTTTTACATCTCTTTTTGAAAGTCGCTGAGGTCTTTTGTTTTAACTTTACTGATTTTTTTCCTTGTTTATTTAAACTATGGTATTGTACTAATTGTTTTCCCGTCCTGACATGAAAGGAAGGCTGTATCACTATCTTCTATTCTTTATCTTGTTGTGTTTTGGTGTAATCTTCATCCAAAGACATTTTTTCCTGCTTTTAGAGAGAGGGAAAGAGAAACATTGGTGTGAGAGAGACACATCAATTAGCCACCTTCTTGTATCAGGGGCTCAAATCCACAACTCAGGCATGTGCCCTGACCAGGAATCGAACCTGCGACCCCTTGGTCAGTGGTACAATGCTCCAGCCAACTGAGCCATACCAGCCAGGGCTATTCTTTATCTTGTTTTGACAATTGGTCTTTATTAAAGATTTTTTTGTATGCCCTAATAACTATAGCTATATGAAATCTAAGTTATATAACCAGTAGAGTGTGTATTTTGAATGTTTCCAGTTGAGATGCAAATGAAATTAAACTATATAATTTAGCCTGAATCCTTAAAACATAGTTATTGAATTTAGATTTAGATTTATACATAAATTACATAAGCAACTCGGAATGAAAATGGAATAAAATGGTTTATAATAAGTTTACATATTTGAACTTTTCATGATAACATACCACTGGACCTACTTTGTAGGCTTATCAGATGCGCCCATCAATTATTTTTTTTGATGAAATCGATGGTCTGGCTCCAGTACGATCAAGCAGGCAAGATCAAATTCACAGGTAAAAGTTGCTTGATGACATTTCTGACTTCCCTATATTCTGAGCTGTATTGATCGCATGAGTAACAATGGTCAAAGTTAGGTGGTGAAGGAAACTTTATAAACCAGTAGTTTCCCATTTTTGTGGGGGGCATAGAAAATCTCGATGTACTGTACAGTAAGAAAAGAAAAGAAATCAGAGATTTGGGTAGCAGGGTATTCTCAAACAGTGTTAAAATCTTAATTACTCTTTTTGGCTCTCTGAGCAGCACTATGTGTTCAGCAAGAACACAAGTGCCTTACAAAAGGTGGCAAAAAGGGACCCAGAAAAAAGTGGCTGACCCGTTTTCTAAGAAAGATTGGTGTGATGTGAAAGCACCAACTATGTTCAGCATAGGTAATACTGGAAAAACATGTCATGAGAACTCAGGAACCAAAATTGCATCTGATGATCTCAAGGGTCATGTTTTTGAAGTGAGCCAAGGTGATCTGCAGAATGATAAAGTTGCATTTAGAAAACTGAAGCTAATTACTGGGGATGTTCAGAACAAAAGCTGCCTTAATTTTCATGGCATGGACTCTTCCTGTGACAGAATGTGCTCTGAGGTCAAAAATGGCAGACCATGGTTGAAGCTCAGGCTGATGGCAAGACTACCAGTGGTTACTTGCTTTGTCTATTCTGTGTTGATTTTACTAAAAAAGTGCAACAAACAGATTCTGAAGACCTCTTAATGCACTTTATCAATGGGCCTGCCAAATACAGATGAAGATGATGGAAGTCATGACCTAAGAAGTACAGACACATGACTTGAAAGGAAGTGGTCAGTATGTTGATTCCAGATAGCATTGGAAGAGACATAGGAAAGGCTTGCCAACCTATTTATCTGCCTCTTTACATCATTGTTAGAAAAGTCAAATGCTGAAGAAGCCCAAGCTTGAACTGGGGAAACTCATGGAGCTTCATGGTGAAGGAGCAGTTCTGGAGTAGCTACTGGGGATGAGACAGGTGAAAAAGCTGAATGAGCTGATGGATATGAACCCTTAGTCTGTTTAAAATTCAGACTTTTTTAAAAAATTTATTTTAGAGGGGAAGGGAGAGAGGAAGAAAGGGAGAGAAACACCTATGTGAGAAACATTGACTGGTTGCTTTCTCCAAGTGCCCTGATTGGAGACAGAGCCCACAACCCAGGCATGTGCCCTGACTGGGAATTGAACTGGTGACCTTTTATTTTTATTCATTTTTTATAAAAGATTTTTTAAAAATTTTTTTAAATTTTAAATTATTTTTTAAAAGGTTTTTATTTATATTTATTTTTAGAGAGGGAAGGGAGGGAGAAAGAGAGAGAGAGAGAAATATCAATGTGCAGTTGCTGGGGTTCATGGCCTGCAACCCAGGCATGCATCCTGACTGGGAATCGAACCTGCGACAGTTTGGTTTGCAGCCCAAGCTCAATCCACTGAGCTATGCCAGCCAGGGTGAACTGGTGACCTTTTAGTTTGTGAGATGACACCCAACCAACTGAGCCACACTAGCCAGAGCTAAAAGTCAGACTTTTAATGTCGGCAAATAAAAATACTATTTGTGATGTTTTTAAAAAATCTTGGTTACAGACTTAACTTGTGATACAGATTTAAATGCCCACTGGCCACTGAAGTAAGACAAATGAAATGAGTGAGCCAGGCCAATGGTAAGAGTAGGGCTGTGGAAGTAATATGGCTGAGTGTTCAGCCATCAGAGCATAAGCAGTTGTTTTTATCTCTAGCCTACTAAAGTGCAGAAGCTGACCCAGAGTTGAAAAATGAATTTTCTTTCTTAAATTTTATGTTCAAAATTTTGTGTTAAATGTCTTTTAAATGTTGCCAACCAATTCACATGCTTTTAAGACACTGTCTGAGCCAAACAGAATATGTCCTAGTGCATGACTATTAGTCGAATGTTCTAATACTAGCCCAACTTCCTCATTTTCAGGATGGGAAAATTGAATCTCCCCTATAGTTACTCAAGGAAGCACTTTATCTTAATGCCAGTCTCAACTCGAATATAAATTACTCTTAGTCCCAATTCATTTTCCGTTTTTCATGACTTCTTTTCAAATTATTTCATAAATTATGTATAATTGCTTAATTAATTTGGGATGCCCTAAAACAAATGTTTGCATGCCTTCATATTTTCTAGTATTTTTTATTGTAAATGGTATAGAAGAGGAGCAAGAAATAATCTGAGTGATAGATAGGTTTTTACTTTTTTTAACACCTGATGATATTTACTGTATTCTGGTGGCCTTCTTTGATTTGATGCTGTACATTTTCATCTGTTGCTGTGAGCAGTAAATTAAAATGTCAAGTACTCTGATAAAAATAGTTATGTTTGCACTGGTCATGTAGTTCAGTTGGTTGGAGCATTGTCCACATACACCAAACGTTTCAGGTTCGATCTCCGGTTGGGACATATACAAGAAGCAACCAGTGATGCATAAATAAGTGGAACAACAAATCAATGTCTGTCTATCTTTACCTCTCCCCCATCCTTCTCTCTGGCTAAAATCAATAAATTACATGGAAAAAAAATTTATGTCTGTACCAGCAATCATACATATTTTTGTATATGACACATTTCGGTGTCACCCATGTTGTATTGTGTTAATAGGGAGAAATATTTAACAATACTAACATCACTTTGCAGTCAAGTAATTGAGAACTTACTATATTTTGGAACAGTTGTAAAGGGATTGGAGTCATTTTAGCAAGCACATGCCATCTTATATATATTTCAGAGAAATTTAGTGTACAATGAATTATTTTGATGCATCAGAAAATAAGATTTTAGCCTAAGAAAAAGGATGCAGATATAAGTTAAATTAAAACCCTAAAATCTTTACTTTGAATTAAAAATATTATGATTTCATGATAAATTTTTTTAAAGAAAACACTCTAAGAGAAGTGTGATCTGAATTTGTTTCATTAGATCAGGAATATATTAATTTCTTTATTAAATTTTGTGATGATGAAAGGGAAAAAAAACAAACAAATAATTCCTAGCTTTGGACCCTGAAAAAATCTAGAAGCAATCACAATCCAGTAGTAATTCATACCTCTGGCACCCAGATTGTCGACTGTAAATACTAGCACTCGTAGGAGAGGTGATAGATTGCAGAACTAAAGCAGGAAATAAGCAAGACAAGCCTGGAACATCTTGTCATGCCTGGAAGCAAGGAAGAAATAGAAGATTATTAGGATCATATGAGAATGAAATAGCCAATTTTGAATGAGTTTCCATTGACCAAAGATGGGGCAATTTGAATATTAAAAATAATAATGACCACAGCAGATTGAGATACATCAGATACATTGAAAAGTCATTTTTAATGATTCTGTTTTAAAAATCTAATTGGTCACTTTGGAGTTTCTATATCGGTGACTCATTACTCTGAAAATTGGATAAAGAGAATGAATCAAGCATTTCTTTTTCCTGTTTTCTGTAGTCATGATTCAGGCCATGAATCGGTAATTTTATAGTTGATGAAGTGAAGTTCTTTATAGGGAAATTACAGTCAATAAATGCAAAGGAAATTATTAACTTAGAAGAATCAGCATTTTGCAACCCCTTATGAAAAAGTAAATCTCTGTGGTTTTCTTCTGGGAGTGATTTTGCCCCCCAGGGGACAAATGTCTGGGGACATTTTGATTGTCACAAATGTTGCATGGGGATGGGAATGCTTGGTATCTAGTGGGTGAATACCAGGGATGCTATTAAAATATCCTAGAATGCACAGGACAGCTCTCCACCAGAAAAAAACATCTGACCCAAAATGTCAATTGTGCCAAGACTGAGAAACATCAATCTAAGCAGTAATTATTAGTGGCTGCTAAAACAGTAAGGTATAAAGGTTCATAGTGATGTTTATGGTGAGTGAAATAAGGTGACATCTCACTTAAACCCAACCCACTGATCTCAAGTGAGAAACTGGTATGAAGCACTCCTGAATTATACAGTAGAAAGTAAATACATGGTGTAGTCCTATGAAATGTGCTATCCCAAGTAGTTTAACCTGCATCTATTAAGTTTCTAGGTCTAATTACGAGTTCACAGGATATACAAATGGTAGAAGACAAGTTATATGACCCCATCAGGAAGATATCCATCAGTTCACAATGTGGGAAGACAATTCTACAATACAAATAACCCAGTTCCTTCAACAAATCAATGGCATGGAGGAAGAGAAAAAAAGTTAGGGAGTGTGGTGGGAACTGTTATTGATTAGAGGGATGTTTGACCATGCGCTTGATTGAACAAATAAATTATAAAAAGATATTTTGAGAAAATCGGTGAATTTGGGTATTAGGTTATATTAAGGAATTACTGTCATTTACATATTGTGGAAGTTTTTAAAAGTCCTTATAGAAATACATATGTGAAATACTTAACATGATATATTTATATTAATTGATTTGAGGGATTTGTTGTATTTTTTAAAGGTATCTGGTAAAGACATATAAAAGGAGTATTATTAATTGTTGAAACTTGTTGATGAAGATGGGGAGATTATTTTACTAATCTCCACAGTCAAAAGTTTAAAATGTAATTAAAATTCTATGTATTTATGCTTTATGTGTATTTTATTTTTGGAGTTTTTGTTGTGATTATGAGTACAAATAGAACATTTTATAATTTTAGATACTATTTGTCTATCTGGTACTTGGTAGTATTTCTTTTTTATGTTTGTCTTATTTGGGAACTCTCAAGTGTCTTTGAAAAATGATGCTTTATGAAATGACTTTCATGATCCATTTGTGCATTCTAAAGACCATCTATGTTTTCTGTTGATTTTAATCTGTATATGCCATTTAGTGTGCTACTTTACAGAATTTTTAAAAATAATTTTTAAATGATTTTATTTATTTACCTTTTTTAGAGAGAAAGGGAAAGACGGAGAGAAACATCAATGTGCAGTTGCCTCTCACATGCCCCCAACTGGGGACCTGGCTCACAACCCAGGCATGTGCCCTGACTGGGAATCAAACTGGCAAACTTTCAGTTTGCAGGCCAGCGCTCAATCCACTGAGCCACACCAGCCAGGGCCAGAATTTTAAAAAATCTTTTGAAAGTAGTGAGATGCTAAAGAAAATTTATTCTAATTTAATGTATTTACTTTTACCAAAAGAAGAAATGTTATATTCAACATTCAATCAATTAATCTCTTCTCTCTTATTTTTAAATTTAGTTCTATTGTTTCCACCCTGCTAGCGCTTATGGATGGATTGGACAGCAGAGGAGAAATTGTGGTCATTGGTGCTACCAACAGACTGGATTCTATTGATCCTGCTTTACGAAGGCCTGGTCGCTTTGATAGAGAATTTCTTTTCAGCTTACCTGATAAAGATGTAAGAACTCAATTAACACCACTCAAATTTTGGCAAAATATGTTGCCCTTATCATCAATAAGTCTTGGTACAGTAAAAATTTGAAGATTGAATTCTGTATGTTCTGAAGCAAAGTTATATGATTAACACCCAAACATGTATGTATGTATTTACAGAGAAGTATTACTCTATTTAAATAAGTCAGGTAAATTTTTTTTTTCACATCGTGCCGTCCTAAAAATATTCTTTAAAGTCTTTCAGTTTAGGCAAAGACTTTAGATGTTAATAATACAAATCATACAACTCTGTTTTGTTTTAGAACACATTGCCTAATGAACAGTCACTCTTTAGCCAATTTGTTAACCTTGGATTTTCCATGGGTGCCATCATGTTATTTTAAAGCCACTTATTTTTTGGAAAACCAAGCAAGAAAATATAATAGAGCCCTGGCTGGTGTGGTTTGGTGGATTGAGCACTGTCCTGCAAACCAAAAGGTCACCAGTTTGATTCCCAGTCAATGCACATGCCTGTGTTGCCAGCCAGGTCCCCAGTTGGGGGTGTATGAGAAGCAACTGATTGAAGTATCTCTGGCACATCGATGTTTTTCTTTCTTCCTCCCTCCCCTCCCTGCTCTCTAAAAATAAATAAATAAATAGAAGAAAATATAGCAGAGCTGTCAATATTCTTAAAAATAGTTCTTAACATGTACCAGAATGAACAGTAGTTCAGTAGTTACTTTTTTTTCATTAACATTTGTGATGAATGGAACTTGAGTACTATAAATGTAAATCTCTTTAATATAAATTCCTTAACCTTTTACAAATACATCTTTTTTTTTTACTGTTTATATTTTTATTTAGGTACTAATATCTTCAACATTTGAGATAAGAGTATTTCAAATTGAAATTATTCTAATCTGAGTAACACTTTTTTATTATAGATGTAAAAAAAATGTTTTTATTTGTAGGCTCGAAAAGAAATTCTAAAGATTCACACAAGGGATTGGAATCCTAAACCACTGGACATATTTCTAGAAGAACTAGCAGAAAACTGTGTTGGTAAGCATTGCTTTTAAGCATTAAGAAATATATGCAATTCAAAGATGGAACAAGTTGTAGCATTGCAAAGTTATATGTAAAGAAATACAAGGTTATCTTTGTTTCTCATGTCTACCTGTTTTCTTACTACAAAGTTCCAGATATTAGAGATATTTGACAAATCTGCTGTTGGGAAATTTGAGAGCAAAATAGACAATAAGAATAACTATCTTTCACTGATTGTGTACATTTTCCTAGTCATCCTATTGAGCATTCTTTTACATATATTTCAGGTAATTCTCACATCAGACCTGTAAAGTAGGTAACATCATCCCCACTTTACAGATGTAGAAATGGCTGACAGAGCATAAATGATTCTCCAAAGTTTACACATCTCGGAAATGAAAAACTGGAATTTGAACCTTATCTGTGGTTTTAAAACTCTTGTTCTTGAGCCCTGTGCTATATTAGTGTTTGCATATTTCACTCACAAAAGTTGATTTGTTGATGATTATCACCACCGTATAAGTTTACTAAGTAAATGAGAGATTTTAGCCTTATTACACTTAAATATTTTGCTACTGTATTGTTAGGCTGACTTAATTTTAACCCTAGTTATGCTAATAGGATAGTAATTTACCTTTTTTTCTTGGTAGGCTACTGTGGTGCAGATATTAAGTCAATATGCTCTGAGGCTGCTTTATGTGCTCTGCGTCGACGCTACCCACAGATCTATACCACTAGTGAGAAACTACAGTTGGATCTCTCTTCGATTAATATCTCAGCTAAGGATTTTGAGGTGGCTATGCAAAAGATGATACCAGCCTCCCAAAGAGCTGTGACATCACCTGGGCAGGCACTGTCCACCATTGTGAAACCACTTCTGCAAAGCACTGTTCACAAGATCTTAGAAGCCCTGCAGAGAGTATTTCCACATGCGGAAATCAGAACAAATAAAGCATTAGACTCTGGTATGAGACTTGGTTGATTACTTAAAGCTAGTTTTTATAATTAGTAAAGTTAAATGTTTTATAATTCTCAGCAATACTTTTTATGCACAGTTTCTTGAAAGGAATTTGGTTATGCTTTTCTTGGGTGGTTGAAAGAAATATACTTCAGGAATTGCCCTTACCTTAATCTATTTTAAATTTGGAATGCATTTTTATATTTACAGCAGGTTCTCAGATAACATTGATTTATTCAACACCATTTTATTATAATAATAATGAAGTGCTATAGGATATAACTCTTGTTTATGTCAGTTAGCTTATGGTAAAATTGTTTTCTTTATACATGGTTTCACTTGAAGTCACAGAATCTATTGATGACGTTAAATGAGGACTTAATTGTTTTCGTTATTCATATCTATGTAATATTTTTGAGTGTTTAAAAAATGTCACTGATCCCTGGCTGGTGTAGTTCAGTGTACTGATTGAGCATGGTGGGCCTGGAACTAAGGGGTCTCCAGTTCGATTCCCAGTCAGGACACATGCCTGGGTTGTGGGCCAGGTCCCAATAGTGAGTGCGTGAGAGGCAACCACACATTGATGTTTTTCTCCCTTTCTTTCTCCTTCCCTCCCCCCTCTCTAAAATTAAATAAGTAAAATCTTCTTTAAAAATGTCATTGAAGTACACTGGTTTGCTAACTGAAGAATTACATAAAAGTTTGCTTTGCAATCTAGAAAAGTTACTAATGTACAATTGTTTTTTTTTTTTAATAGATATTTCTTGTCCTCTGTTGGAAAGTGACTTGGCATACAGTGATGATGATGTTCCATCAGTATGTGAAAATGGGCTTTCTCAAAATTCCTTTACTAAGGCTAAAGAAAATTTTAATTTTCTTCATTTGAATAGGTACATTTTCCTTGTAAATTATTATTATTATTATTGTTATTATTATTATTATTATTATTATTTTGGTGTGTAAATTCCCTAAAACTAAATGAGATGGTGTTTGAAATATAAGATACCAACTAATCTGCTGTTTTTTAGGTTGAAATATAAAAAAGAAATTTCTTGTTGCAGTTGTTACTATAGTAGAAATTCCACTGTATAATTATTCTTAAACATCTGTGGAGGGTAATTTTTTTTCAAAAACCATGTGAGCCATGTTGTTATGATTGGCCAACAAAATATTTGAAATTTTTGACTTATGTAAGTTCATAGTTGGTAATTTGTGAGAAAAATGTAAACTTTTTATTTTCTAAAACATTGCTTATTACTCATTTCTTTCAGAAATGCTTGTTATCAACCTATTTCTTTTCGACCAAGAATATTGATAGTGGGAGAACCAGGATTTGGTCAAGGTTCTCATTTGGCACCAGCTGTCATCCATGCTTTGGAAAAACTTGCAGTATACACATTGGACATTCCTGTTCTTTTTGGAGTCAGTGCTACATCTCCTGAAGAAACGTGTGCCCAGGTCATTCATTGTTACCCAGACAGATAAGCTGTAAGGCAAAGCAGTCTAGACAAAGTCTAGAATTGCTTCAATTTTTTGTACATTTTTGTTCTGTTTCCTGATTTGTAACTTTAGGTTTATAAAATAAAACTAATGCGTAACTTCTTAGTCATTAAAAAATATCTAAGTGACCATAGGAGAATTATTAGATCTCTCCGCCTAAAATGGGGAAAATAATTTTGTTTCCAGTGTATGGCTGTTGTGAGAATTATACTTAAAACAGTGACTGCTGTGTTCTAAGTACTCAGGTATTCTTCTGCTTCTGTTTTTGCTGTTTCTATATTTAAAATTTTTTTAATGAAAAGGTGTTTTATATTTTTATACTTAACCTTTGTTACAGCAGAACAGTCTCCTACATTTCTTGAGCTGTCTTCTAATTGCTTGAAGCAATTATGTTTTCTAAATATGAGACAAAACATTTATAAATAAGCTTGTGGGGTTGGGGGAAGCATAGCATTACTGATGTGCTGACTTCTTAACTGAATGTAAATTTTTTTTTCTGTTTGCTAGATGATTCGTGAAGCTAAGAGAACAGCACCAAGTATAGTGTATGTTCCCCATATCCACTTGTGGTGGGAAATAGTTGGACCAACACTCAAAGCCACATTTATCACATTATTACAGAATATTCCTTCATTTGCTCCAGTTTTACTACTTGCTACCTCTGACAAACCCCATTCTGCTCTTCCAGAAGAGGTAATTTGTAAGGGCAAAATTATTGTGCTTTAAAAAGAAATTTATTTGTACTACAGTAATAAGAACTTGTAAAAATTCCAAATGCTTCAGAAGTGAATAAAATGATAAAGATTTTCTTAGGAAAGACAGCATTGTTAACTGTTTGGTATATGTGCTTGTTAGTTAGCATGGTGTATGTATATGTGTATGTGTATAGTAAGGTTACATTATAAAATTTTTTCTCTTCCAAAAATTGAATACTATGTAATACATAGTATTCTGCAATTTGTTTTATATATTTTATATATTCTTCCATACATAACTCTTATTCCTTTTAATAGCAACATGGCTTTTTCCATTGTCTTGATATACCACAACATATTTATCCAAATTCTTGTCCGTAGGTATTTGGTTGTTCTAGTTTAGTGCTATAGTAGACATCCCTAGGTTTTATTTCTTTACATATTTTGCATTCATGGGTTTTAATTTGTACAAACATTACTATATGGTTTCTAGCATTCATTCTTAAAAGTGGAATAACTGTAGTTCAGTTAAAGAATATGCACATTGAATATTTTTGATGGTACCAAATTGCTATCCAACTTCATGACGATTTAGACAAGTACCAATAATGAATAATAGTTCATGTTTCTTTTGCCTGGAGTACTCTTCTCCTAGATACTTGCCTGGCATGGTGCTTTACTTTCCTTGGGTCTCTGCCCAGGTACCACCTCAGAGATGCCTCCCTGATTAGTTTCTCAGTTACAGCAATAGTTCCTCTGCCCATCACTCTCTTTTTCCTTGCTCTGCTTTCTTTTTATCTTTTCCTTGATATTAAATATGAATTTGTTTGTTTGTCTCTCCTAGCTGAATGTGAAGTCGGGGACTTTTTTTCCCCATTTCTATTCCCAGAGTGTGGGAGGCTGCTCTGTGTGGTGTGGGCCCAACTCCCACTGGGAGATGCACAGGACCCACGCCCACAGATAGGTTTCCCCGAGGGGAATCAGGCCTGCAGTGTACCTAGGCCGCTGAGTCTTGCTTTTTGCTAAAACTCCCTCACCCTGAATTGAGGACATTTACTGCAAAGCAACTTCCTAAAAACCATGCTAAACCTTCCAAGGATGAGTGTAACTGTCCAGCTACTTTTGCCTTTTCATTTGCAAATATCCCTCTTCTGTGACTACCAGCATCCTCTCCTTTGTTTTCTGTATAAGGTAACCACCTAAAGCTAGCCTGTGCATAGTTAATGAGGACCTTATTGTAATGTACCCAGTAAAAGCTCTTTGAATCCAGGGCCAAGGCTTTTGCTCCCCTTGAGAGAAAAGCCATGCCATCCCTTTTCCTCCACCGAATTCTGTAATCAGTGTGAATGTCTCATTTCATCCATAATGACTCGGACCCCAAGAGTCGGGGTCTGCATCAACAGAGTATATAATAAGCATACTGTAGGCTTCTGTATGCCTTCATTTAATGATGAATGTAATCAGTTTTGCAATACCTTTGACAAAATTGGTTTGTAGTGTTTAGAGAATTGGTAGGAAGTTAAATTCAAATATTTTGTTAGACAAATAGTTCTTGAGTGCTTATTCTCTGCTAGGTATCATTTTATGCAAAAGGAATATAACTATAGACAAAAAATTGTATCAGCTTAGGGCTTACATTGTAGTTGAAGTGGAATTAAATAAAAATAAATAAATATATTGTACTAACCTATTGCTGTGGAGAAAGATTTAGCTAAGCAGTGCCAAAAGAGTGTGGTACGGTCACAGTGTCAAATAGGCTATGTAAGGCCTTACTAGGAAGATGTCATTTGAGCAAAGTCCTGAAAAATGTAAGGTATTGTGATCCATTTGAGTATTCAAAGGACAAAACTCTCTGGCAGAGGAAAAGCAAATACAAAGGCTCTGAAGCAGAAAAGTGTGTTTGGTGTGAAACACACTTCTAGCAAGAAGGCCAGGGTGGCTACAGCAGAATGAGTAAAGGGCACGTAGGAGGAACTATGGTCAGAGAGTTATCGAGGGATCAGATTACATCCCTGAGGGCTGTTTTAATAGTTGATTGTGAATTATTCAAGTGAAAGCTGAACAAGCTGGGAAATGAACATTAATTACAGTAAGCACTCACATAGTGTCATCAGTAGGTTCTATGACTTAAAGGAAAACAATGTATGATGAAATCAGTTTTACTCTAGGCTTATTGATATAAACAAGAGTTAATTTCCTTCTCACCAACATTATAAGAAAACAATGGTGCATAAAACACCATTATTCAGCAACCTTCTGTAGATATTACAGATTTTTAGGGTGGGAAATCTTTAAGGGTTTTAGTTCAGTTAATCATCTTGCTCTGGATTCTTCTTACATAGTCTTTCCTTTATGTTGTTATCCCATCTTTGTTGAAACAGTTTTTTTCACTATTGTTATCTCTAGATCCTAAAAAATCACCTTACTTTGAGAGGCTTCCATTTCTTAATTTCCATTTGTTTCCCAGGTACTATATAGAACCTGTCTAATCTATTTTCATTATGGCAACTCTTGTATGTTTTAATACTCTTTTCATTTCTATGTTTCCATATTTTATTTATTTATCTAGTTTGTTTATTTTCTCACTTAACAGTACCAAGCAGGTGACTAGATTGGCAGGTCTACTCGCCATGGAGTCATTTAGACGCTTGAGCTGAGAGAGTTTTCTCATTTTCATCACGTGGCTTTCCAGGTTCCTTTCATTCCATCCAGCTGAAAGCAGTGGCTCATTCATGTGCCTGATCTGAAAATGATGTATATTATTTCTTTTCACATTATGTTGGCTAAAACTCAGTCACATAGCTCTACCTAATTGTAAGGGAGACTAGGAAATATGACACAGCAGTGTGTGCAAAAAGGAGAGAACATGGACTATGACAGTAGCCGGCTCTGTCACACATTACACATGCTTTTAGATTCTTCAAAATTCTGGTCACTCTCCTGAATGTTTTTCTCTTTATATGCCTTTTGAAAGGCTGTACCCAGAATGCATTAAGTACTCCAGCAGTGTTCTGATTTACTGTTCTGTGAAGAATTGCTGCTTAGTAGCCACATTGTACCATTGGCTTATTGTATTTATTGTCAATTAAAACTCTTAGTTATTTTGAAGTTAGAGATAAAAAGAAGTTTATACTCTCAGTAATAAGAAAAACTAGCAGAACTTCCTGTATACAGATATAGGGAGGTTGAAAATCAGTTTAATGTGGAATAACTTTATTAAGAATGTGGGAATTCTGTACTTAATGATATTTTTTAAAGAATAGCTGCTCTTTTTTGTTACATTAATATTTCCTAAGCATAAAATTGTAAACTGGGTAGCATATCTCAGTTCCCCACTGTAGAGTATGTTGTAATAGGCACAGAACCAGAATTTGCCCATTTAAAAAAATGAATAATCTAGTTTATATGGATGCAAATAAGTATTTTGAGCCTTGTATTGTCTTTAGTGATTTAGTGATACTGTCAATATAGCATTGGACTACAGTATATGAGAAATACTGTGTGAAATATTACTAGCTACATTCAAGTTTGTCTATTTCAAAACTTCAAACAGAGTTCCTATATACAAGAGGTCAGAAATGAGTGGACCCTAGCAACTCTGAGCAATATGGAAAAATCAGAAAGAATGTTATCAGTGGATTGGAAACTTCCATGAATCCATGAATGACAAAAGAGTAGAAATTAAACCATAGTTTAAAGCGTGTGCAAGAAAGGACTGATGAATGATTTCTAGCTCTGTCAGTGCTAAGACGGAATTGAAAGAGCCTTTGGACAACTTTGGGGTAATTGTGTTTTCTTCACTTTTGGCCATGCCAAAGAATAGCAGGGTTTGTCCTCAGCTAGAGCAGTGAAGATGAGCCAAAGGATTACTGTGAGAGAGTAGTGAATTGTCTATGGCTGTTGATATCAGAAGGAATAGGAAGCCCCTAGTCCCAGAAGACAAATGATAGGCACGTTCTTTTTCCAATATAGGCTAGCTTCTTTCATAATCATTGGAGCTAGAAGCTAGACTAAACGGAAAAAGCATTAGTGGACAGTCAGAAATGTCAAAGCAGAGATGAGCTTATAAATAAGCATTTGAGGAAGGACTACACCATAGTCATATCCATATATCACCAACAGACTTCTGTGGAAAGAATCAATCTGAGACACAGTAAGTTACACCCCCAACATTAAAAACCCCATAGGGCTGCCCCAGCTGGTGTGGCTCAGTTGCTTGGAGTGTTGTCTGATATACCGATGTGTTGGGGGTTTGATTCCCAGTCAGGGCACGTGCCTAGGTTGTGGGTTCAATACCCAGTTGGGGTGCATATGAGAGCCAAAAAATCAGTGTTTTCTCACATTAATGTTTCTCTATCTCTCCTCTTCTTATCTCTCTAAAATCAATAAACATTTTTTTCAATTAAAGAAGCCATAGGGCTGGCTGAAAAGGAGCAGACACAGATGAAGAGTGAATTGGAAAAAGTTAAAGGAAATGGACGAGATAGTTTTAGGTCTAACATCCATTTAATGGGATTTGTGGGAGAAAAAAATGTAGAAGAGAAAATAGTCACATAATACAACATTTTGTAGAATTAAAGAATACCATAAGTCTTCAGATTTAAAAGGCCCCTTGTGTTTTCACTGATAGAAAAGGCTTTTATGTATGTAAAATTTCAGAATGCGAAAAGTACAAAGAAAATCTTCCAAGAGAAAAAATTACTAGAAAAGACTGAAAATCAAATTGTTTCTACCTTTTCATTGGTAAAACTGGCTACTGAGGAGACAACTGAGCGATATTTTTAAATGTTGAAGGAGAATAATTTTTAATTTTTTCAATTACTGTGTATATTCAGTATTATTTTGTACTAGTTTCAGGTATATAGATAGCATAGTGGTTATTAGACATTTATATACATTACAAAATATTCCCCCCTCCTTATATTTCTAGTACCTGCCTGACACCATGCATAGTTACTACAATATTATTGACTATATTCCCTAGGCTATACTTGACATCCCCATGACTGTTTTGTAACTATCAATTTGTACTTAATTCTTTTCACCCAGTCCCTGAGCTGCCCTGCCTGCTGGCAACCATCAGTCTGTTCTCTGTATATATGAGTCTGTTTCAATTTTGTGTTTGTTTGTTTTGTTCTTTCCACTTATGAATGAAATATGGTGTTTGTCCTTCTCTAACTTATTTCACTTAGCATAACACCTTCTAGGTCCATCCATGCTGTCACAAATGGTAAGATTTCATTTATTGTTATGGTTGAGTATTACCCCATTGCATATATGTACCATAGCTTCTTTATCTACTCATTTATTGATGGACAATTGGGTTGCTTCCATATCTTGGCTATTGTAAATAATGTTGCTATGAACATATGGGTACAAATTTTCTTTTGAATTAGTGTTTTGGGTTTCTTTGGATATATACCCATAAGTGGAATTTCTGGGTCATACAGGAGTTCTATTTTTAATTTTTGGAGGAACCTTCATTCTATTTTCCATAGTGACTGCACCAGTCTGCATTCCCACCAAGAATATACAAGGGTTCACTTTTCTCCACATCCTTACCAACACTTGTTGGTTGATTTATTGATGATAGCCATTCTGACAGGTATAAGGCATATCTCATTGTGATTTTAATTTTCATTTCTCTGATTAGTGGTGTTGAACATCTTTTTTAATGTCTGTTTGCCATCTGCATATCTTCTTTAGAAAAGTGTCTATTCAGGTCCTCTGCCCAGTTTTTAATTGGATTGTTTGTTCTTTTGGTGTTGAGTTGTATGAGTTCTTTATGAATTTTGGATATTAACCCCTTAATGAATGTATCATTGGAAAATACTAAAGTAAAATAATTTTGAATTTATAATTTTCTGCCCGACTAAGTTAGCATTTAGAGAGAGAGCAAAATAAAGACATTTTTAATACACAATCCCTAAGAAACTATTACCCATAAACCCCTAACTGAATTATTAAAGAATTATTTATCTTGGATATGTTGTTTTGTAGAAGTGTCATATAAATCAGTGAGCAAAGAAAATAGTAAAACTTATCACAAAGTTATGATGTAAAAAAATTAAGGAATGTAAGACATACTAATTTAGTCTTAGTCTGAACTTGAAATGGCATGGGGACATAACGGAAGAAGAAGAAGTAAAAGCATGTTTAGATTTTTTCCTGCTATGTAGATGTTGATTAACCTTATAGTTTAGTTGAAAAAGAAGCTTAGATATGTCCATTAAAACTTGTAACAATAAAAGAATCAAAATACCACATATTACTTTTAGGCCACCAGAAGAGGGGAAGGGGAGGTACACATTTTAATAAAAATTCCAACAAAATAAGTAGATTTTAAAATTCAATGTAGAAGGGGGGAAAAAACATTTTCTTCAAACATTTCTTTGAAGAAAAATTTTAAAAAACAATGAGAAGGTTCTTGGCCTACCAAATACAGGGTCTGGCACAAATAATACCCCCTTTTTATTACAAAATCTTTTACTACAGAATCATAAGCATGTAATTCTGTAACACAACAATGTCACACTCAAGCACACCATATGACATTTTTGGTGAAATGTTCAAATTGCTGTTCATGTTGTGTGAGACGTTCACACACCCTACCAACCACACTCAAGCAGGTGTTACTTCTGCCGGACTCTGTATTAAAGCATACCAGAAAGTTAGTAATTAAACCTGGATTTGCACTAGAATGTATGGATTAGTGGAATATAGTCTATTAGTCATTAATACACTTTTTATATACAGTCATTTAGTAAATTAATTAGTAAAAATAGACACATTTCATGAATGATATTGAGATAATAGGAGGAAAATGTTTATACCATAGTGTATTAGAGAACATTTTATAATGTTGGTGCACAGACGACCTTGCAAAGCGAAAAACGAAAAAACTATGGATATAGATCTCTCTATCTCACATATATCTGAAAGTATGCAAGCATCATGAGGAATTAACATTATTATCATCTAAGAATTATACTGGGAAGGGTCTAGGTTTGTTTGGAAATATTCATTTGGGATGTGTTTGCCTTTGTTTTCTTTGGCAGCTCATATAAGTGGAATAATATAGATTTGGTTCTGTGAATGGCTTGTTTCACTTAGCACAGTGTTTTCAAGATTCATGCATATTGTAGCATTTGTTAAAATTTTATTTCTATTTAAAGTTGATTAATATTACATTGTATGAGTACGTGTGACATTTTGTTTCTCCATTTTATCCGGTGATGAGCCTTTGGATTGTCTAGCTCTTATTTATTGTGAATATTCCTGCTGTCATTATTGGTTTATAGTATCTCTTTAAGTCTTTGTTTTCGGTTCTTTCATATATGTATACTGGGTTACATGGTAATTCTGTGTTTAGATCTTTAAGGAATCAGTGTACTGTTTTTAACGATGACTGTTAACTGAACATTAATGATGACACTATTTTACAGTTCTACGGGCTCAAGGGTTCTAAGTTTTCCAGATCCTCACCAGCACTTGTTATTTTTCATTTTTAGTTCTTACTGAACAACCACTCATTCTCATATTCTACTTTGGGCTGTGAAAGTGAATTAATTGATTTCAACAAAACCCTTTAAGTAAATATTACCATGTCAGTTACCAGAATCTTGAGTTTTAAAGATCCCATTTTTTTTAGTTCTTAATCTATTATATACCTGGTTTATTTATAAACTCAACATATAAAAGATTGTTTTAAAAATTCTCTATTAAACAATTTGGATTATCATAAAAAATGTGTATAATAACCTACTGCTGCATTTATTTTCTTATTTTAAGGTGCAAGAATTATTTATCCATGATTATGGAGAAATTTTCGATGTCCAGTTACCTGGTAAAGAAGAACGGACAAAATTTTTTGAAGATTTAATCATCAAACAAGCTGCTATGCCTCCTCTATCAAAAAAGAAAGCAGGTTAATTCCTATATCAAAGTTAATATATAATAATTTTGAGAAAATGGGAATAAAATATTAGTTAATGACCTCTCCATCTTCTAATAACACAAGCTTAAAACCTTGGGCATGAGATTGATACCTCTACAGCTTAAATAGACTTCTTTCCCTCATTCAAATAGACTAACGTTCGTAAAGCACACAAGACCTTTCAAGTATAGTTTTAGTCTTTGTGGACTTTGGGCCTAACTTCATAGAATAGCCCAATCTGCTATCTAAGCCCATTTTTGGCACTTTCATTATCCCATTTCTCCCACCTCTTTCCTTACAAAGCACTCTGTCTTTAAACCGTACACACATATTTCTGCCCTTTCATAAATTCGTTCATGCTTGCTCTCTGTCAGTAATGCTTCTTTCCTCATCCCCATCTCTACCTAAGGAACCTTTATTTTCTTGTTCTTCTGGTATAACCCATTTTTTCTTCCGTAACATATCTAGGGAAAATTAATTTTTTGCCCTTTCATACTACTAATATGATATAGTAATGTAGTAATTATATCTCTTTCTTAATAGTAGATTGCCAACTTATTGGGGCATTACTCTCATATTCCTTTTGTTGTTGTTGTTTTGAATACTCAGTGCATATCTGTTTAAACAAAATTAAGCTGTTGTTATATTTAAAACATACCATCATTTTTCATTAGTTCAAAAATTAACTAGTAAAGAAGACTTTAAAAAATTTTTTTTAAAGATTTTATTTTCAGAGAGAGGAGAAGGGAAGGAGAAAGAGAGGGAGGGAAACATTGATTGGTTGCCTCTCACATACCCCCAACTGGGGGCCTGGCCTACAACCCAGGCATATACCTTGACTGAGAATGAAACGGCAACTTGTTGATTCTCAGGCCAGCACTCAAACCACCGAGACACACTAGCCAGAGCAAGAAGACGTTTTAATAGTAAAAATATTCTTGTCCTGGAAATACCCATAAGGTACTTTCAAAGTTTTAATAGCCCCTTAAATGATCTTAAAATGGAACAGAGGCAATGACTTGGGAATGAGTATTCCAGTTAGAAGTTACCAGTTGTTGCTGGGGGAATACAGAGGTAGAGATGATGGTAGCACTTTAGTATTCCAAATTCTATGCTTCCTGGCAGATGTAAGGAGGATTACCCCTGAAAGCCAGACTACCATGTGCGCTACATCATTTGTCACACTTGATATAATGACAGAGTAACAACTAAAAATCTTCCATTTATGTGAAGTTTTACAGGCCTTGGAGGTACTCCCAGTGGCACCACCACCTGAACCAAGACCATTAACAGCAGAAGAAGTGAAACGGCTAGAAGAACAAGAAGAAGATACATTTAGAGAACTGAGGATTTTCTTAAGAAATGTTACACATAGGCTTGCTATTGACAAGCGTTTCAGGATATTTACTAAACCTGTTGACCCCGATGAGGTATTAATTTAAACTTTGGATCAAATATATTCTAAACTATAATGCTTCAAAACTAGAGACTATTTAAATAGTTTATGTGGTTCTCTGTCTATACTCTGAACTTGTTTTTTTGTTTTAAAGATTTTATTTATTTATTTTTAGAGGGGAAGGAAGGGAGAGAAAGAGAGAGAAACATCAATGTGTGGTTGTCTCTCTCGCACCTTCTACTGGGGATCTGGCCCGCAACCCAAGCATATGCCCTGAATGGGAATCAAACTGGCGATGCTTTGGTTCGCAGGCTAGCACTCAATCCATTGAGCCATACCAACCAGGGCTGAACTTGTTTTCTTATATAGAAACATACCAAATAGTGTCTAAGCACATGGATACTTCAGTAGCTATCTAACACATTTTTCTTTTCTGCAGAGAATAGACAATTAAATTTGCTCAACCCAAACATTCTAGAAGCAATTTTTTAATGCCTTAATGATACTTATCTACACAGTTAGAGTGAGCTGGAGAATGAGCTTTTAAGTTTACATTGAAAGATAGGTGACATTTGGTTGAGGAAAGAGGAATAGAATGTAACTGGAGATATAGTCTCCCAAGAATAAGAATACATGCAAAATAAAACTAGCCTTAAATAAGTCAAAGCTTTCATATTAATATAATACCATTATTTCTTATGTATTTATTCTCTCCTATATTGCCTGGCAAAGAAACTTTACTCAAACGTTTCTATGTTCAAGAGTTAATTTAGTGATTTGGTCGTTTGCTTGAATTTTAGGTTCCTGATTATGTGACTGTAATAAAGCAACCAATGGACCTTTCATCTGTAATCAGTAAAATTGATCTCCACAAGTATCTGACTGTGAAAGACTATTTGAGTGATATTGATCTAATATGTAGTAATGCTTTAGAATACAATCCAGATAGAGATCCTGGAGGTGAGCATTAGGGAGTTTTTTTTCACGGGGCGGAATGGGGGCAGCTAACACTTAGAAGTTTGATTTGGTAACGGGTGCTACTATACAGTAAACATTCTACATTCACAGTACCAAAGTGTTCCATTTCCTTTCTTCAAGAGGTGGACACTGTTAAGTTTGAGGCTATCTTTCCAAACCTTTTCTTTGCATATACCCATTCTACCCTCATGTAATCTATTAATAATAAAATTATATATTTGCTCATGTATATAATTATGCATTCAAATATTTACATATTTGGGATAAACTTATTCATTTCCAAAAATAATTTTTCTCACTTTTGTTTTTTAGCTTCTTGTTTTATGGATGCAGTGTCCTTAATATTTCTAGTGGCTAATATATTTTTAATAGTCCATTTTCTGCATTAACTCTCACCTCCAGTACATTGGCTTTTGCAGTTGGTAGTACTTATAAATTAGACTGATTAGCATAGAGACCTACTGAGTTTCTTTAGCAACTGAAAAGCTCACTAGTATTCCACCCTACTTTCCCTAGGCTTTTCCTTATATATAGTTCAGGATCCTGGAGGTAAACAGTGAAAAACAGGCTACCAAGCTTAGAGTGATGTTTAATTGTGGAAGGAAGGATTTACTTGGGAAGCAGAGGGTTTTTTCTGTTTGGTTGCAGTCATGCTGCTGCTGCTGCTACTGCTGCTTCTGCTGCTTCTCTTTCTGTCCATGTGGCAGCCTAAAATTACTTTAGACCAGTGGTGGTCAAACTTTATCAACTGTCAGAATCTAAAGGATTTGTTAAGATACGTGTTGCTGGACCCATCTCTGGGGTTTCTGATTCTGTAGATAGAGGATGAGGGCCTGAGAATTTGCATTACTGACCAGCTCCTAGGTGATTCTCATGCTCCTGCACCTCAGAAACCAATGCTTCAACTTTGCCCTTGCTTTCTTCAGGCACAGATGCTGTTAGAAGCCCCTTCCAACATCTCTTCTGATATCATAGCTGCACCTTGGGTGTGAATGTTGCAGCCTACTTCCCTGTGAGAGAGCCTGATGCACCATTCAGTCAAGCTTGTATTCTCTTGACTTCTGCCTTCTGCCTCAGCATATTCCAGTTTACAGTAGTTGGACTCAGTTTAAGATTTTATCCAGTGTTTCCTAGTATAGGGTTGTTCTTTCATTATCTTTGCTTAGTTTCTCTGTCAATGCAGTAACATTCCCTATATCGCTTCCAAAAATCTTTTACATTCCGGTTCACTAATGACACTGATAGCCTTCCTTTCTGGGTTGCTTTTTATTTATTTATTTCTTTGGGGGGGGTCATTAATGTTGTTTAGCCTTACTATTGATTGATTTCTGTGTTTTTTTCCTGATACTTCAAAGGGATCTGGATAGAACATAGCAATAAAATTATTTGGATTTAGTCTGCCATATTGAATTAGATGTCCAGAACACTAAATTGGCACAAAGAAGAGAATAACACAATTTTAGTAACTGTTACTATTCATGGTAAAACTAAAAAAAGAATGGTAATGGCTACAGTCTTAACCAAAAATGTTGAAAAAATTTTAAATACTTTATTTCTCAGATCGTCTCATTAGGCACAGAGCCTGTGCTTTAAGAGATACTGCCTATGCAATAATTAAAGAAGAACTTGATGAAGATTTTGAGAAGCTTTGTGAAGAAATTCAGGAATCTAGAAAGAAGAGAGGTAGGAAAATAATTTGGCATCAAAAAAACATGCTTTTGGTGTAGTGTAAGCCCTTTTAATTAATTTTTGGGGTAATTTTGAAATTTGAAATTTTGATTTGACATATCATATCTATTTATAAGGTTGTAGTTCCTCCAAATATGCCCCATCTTATTACCATGTGATGCCAAAGCAAAATTCCACTCCCGCTGGTGATAAAAGATCAGATCCAGAGCAGAATGAAAAGCTAAAGACACCCAGTATTCCTGTGGCTTGCAGCACTCCTGGTAAGTGCACACTTGGGTAATTTTTACTTACAACATTATCATCTTTATGCTCTTCCAATGCTCTTTACTTTCTCCCTAGGTTTCCTTTATTTATATTGAGGTAGTGAATTACATTGATTTTGTGAATATTGAGACAAGTTTCCATTCTTAAAGTAAATCTATGTTGTAATGATGTCCTCTTGCAGTCCCAGTTCACCTTTATTTAATTGTGGATTGACTTGATTTGAAACTGATTTTCATTTCTTAAAAATCCTGGTCATTTTCTGTTCCTCTTTATTCTTAGAGTATAACTTTACAGGGCACCAATCCAAAGCCTGTGTGTTTTCCAAAGACCTCTCCCTTGGCAGGGTCATACTTCCATTTTTTGCTCTTTAAGCCCCATGAATGTGAAACTCTCAGTTTCTTAGCCTCTCAGCTTTTCATTTGTTTTTCCAGATTTGGTTGTCATAATTTCTCAATGCCTCATTAGATCTCCAGTACTTTTAAACAGAAATTTTAAAAATACATGTATGTGTTTTACTGGGGTTGGAGTTTTCTCTTATTGTATTGCAGGTTTGTCTATTCCAGGGTAATTGACTTGAGATAGATAGAGTAAGCCCTGCTTTTGTAAAAATGGGAAGAGGCAGCAGGGAAAGAAAGAGTGAAGAGGCAAACCAGTAAGAGACCTCTACTATCAGAAGGTTCTTGGTCAAATCAACTTTAAGCAAGTATATACATATGGAAGTTGAAGACATAAAAAATGACTCCCTTAAAACAATCCATTCCTACTATATACGCAACAGGACTGAATGCATTACCTTCACCAAAGACACACACAGGAATGTTCATAAAACAAATATTCCTAACAGTCCAACACTTGGGACAGCCCAGATGCCCATCTACAGTAGAATGGGAAAATGTGGATTACATACAGCAGTGTGAATGATGAAACTTGAACTACATTTAATAGTATAGATGAATCTCAAAGCATAATATTGCAATATGATTATACTGTATCTGGTCTAGAAAGTTTAATCTTTGTGTGCTTTAGTGTCTTCCTCTGTAAAATGATGTTGGTAATGGTAACAAACCTGATCAGGTTAAAAGTAAAATTTCAGTGACTCTCAGTACATATGAAAGACTTAGGACAGTTCCTGCTGTATGGCAGGCACTAATTCTAAGCCATGTTTAATCTTGCCTTTTCTCTGGTTCATTCCTTAAGCTACTGTCAAAGTGTTCTTACTAATATATGCAGCAGATCATTCATTGCCCTCCTTAAAATTATTCAAGACTTTAAAAAATTATTTCAGGTAACTTCAGACACTTCAGAATGATAGATCATTACCCACTTCTTTACTTTTTCATAGTACTATATACTTCTGTTTCTATATTCCAACCACTCAAAACTGTGGTGGTTTCTTAAACTCTCTATTCTATATCAGTATTTTTTCCTCCATGTACTTAGACTTTAGAAAATTGTTGAAAGTTCTTTATTCCTTTTGTTTTGTTTTCAATTCTCTGCAGCTCAGTTGAAGAGAAAAATCCGCAAAAAGTCAAAGTGGTACTTAGGCACCATAACAAAACGAAGAAAGATTTCACAAGCAAAAGATGGTAGCCAGAATGTCACAGATGACAAAATTGAGAGTGATACAGAGGAAAATCACGATACAAGTGTTGACCCCAACGAAACCGGTAACACAGGAGAGTCTTCAATGGAAGAAAATGAGATGCAGCAAAATGGCTCTGAAAGCAAAATAGATTTGGGAAATAATTCAAGTACCTGTAATATTGAGAAAGAACTTGAATCTGGGAAGGCTACAGCATGTACAGAATTGAAAAAAGATAAGATTGCTTGCAATGGAGATGCTTTAAGCTCTCAACTAATAAATATATCTGATGAAAATGAAGCAAAAGGTAAGTCTCAAACAACTTACTAATTTTAAAAGATGTTTTAGTGAGATTTCTTAAGTGGCTAATTATCATCTCAATTTATTCCTTTTTCCTTGTCTTTCATAGTGTAGGTGTTAATTCGTTAGGAAATATAGTATTATCTTCGTTTAATAACTATTACGCTAGTAAATCACTGTTGTTAAAAGCACACTGTGGTATCCTACAAACCTGGATTTGAGCCCCTAGTCCACTACCTAGTAGCCTGTGGCCTCAGGCAAGGTTCTTGACGTGTCAGGCTCAGTTTTCTCTTCTGCAAAACTGTGGTAGATAGTTGCAAGTAATGAGATATTTTGAGGATTGGATAAATAATTCATCTAAAGCGTTCAGCAAAGTGCTTTGACTATATAGTTCTTGGCTAAAGGTAGCAGGATACCCTCTCATTAAGCAAGATAAACAGTTTCCTATGGCTCTTGCTGAGTGATGTAGAACAACCGTTACTCACTCCTATCATTCCTCTGTTCACATGGTTAGATCTTTATTGAGAATTGTCTTCCATCTGGATCTTCCTGGATCTTTGACAGATTTGTTTTATTCTTCAGTAAAGGCAAACATTATTTGGTTTTACAAAGTAAAAAGAGTAGTAACAGGGTCAAACATTTGTTTTGGCCAATAAAAATTATTAACTAAGTTAATGAGACTGGTTTTCTTCAGTGGTTTATATGCTGTAAGAAAATCCTTTTCAAGGACTTCCTTGAAATGAGTTCCAGTGTGTTTGAGTAATTACAGCAGAATGTACTAAGATACAGTCTTTCCAATGTGGGTATTTTAAATGTTAATCTTCCAACTATGTAATTTAGCATGTTTTGTTTGGGTTCAGAGTTCTTTTGTTTTTCTGTTATGATCTTTAAAAGGACACTATTTTGTGGGACACACCTTTTAAAGGACACATATCCTTGTTTACATGTCAGGAGATTTGGGTTCTTGTCTGGGCTAACAATTAGGTGTGTTCACCTTAGAAAAGTCTTCACCTCTCTTGGCCTCAGTTTTTTCATCTATCAGTGAGTAGATTCTTTTAGAGCAGGGATATGCAAATGTTCTGCACAGGGCCAGATATTAAATACTTATCCATATAGTAGCTGTCACAGCTAGTTAACCCTACCAGAAAAGCCATACTGACATGCCAGTGTAAAATGGGAGTGGTTATGTTCTAATAAAACTTTATAGTAGTAGGCCAGATTTGTTCTGTGGGTGGTAATTTGCAATCCCTATTCTAGATTACTGAGGTCCCTTGCAGCTCTTAAATTCTGCCTTATGCTTAAGTAGAAGACATTTGAGGATCCCCTAAAATACTCAATTTGAGAAATATTTCTCAAATGTTCTTAATTTTTGAATGTGTAAGTGGCAACATCTTAATCTTATAGCAGAATCAGTATACCAGAATTGATATTTGTGTCTTACTAAAAGTGTCCTGCAATTTCATCTACCTGATATTTATTTTAGGCATTATAATGTCTGTGAGCCAAATAATAATGTTACTCGATTATTCATTCTAGAAATGTGGACTCTGCGGATGACTCGTGCTAGACGTTCCCAAGTGGAGCAGCAGCAGCTCATCAGTGTTGAAAAGGCTTTGGCGATTCTTTCTCAGCCTACACCTTCACTTGTTGTGGACCACGAGCGATTAAAGGTATGTAAATTGAACTTGTAATGCTGTTGTTGTGCAGATTAGTAACATAACCCACCAAAAGAGGACTGTAATAGTAGTATATTGTATCAATTTGGCATGTAATAAATAATGATCTTTTATTATTTAACCCTTTAATATTATAATCCTTTATTACTTATCCTTTAATATTAAAGGATAAGTTTGGTATGGAATAACTTTCATAAGGTGAGGGTTGGAGGTGGCTAGTATGTTGATATTATAGTTTTAGCAGACTTGTCTACATCATTGATCCCGTACATTGTTTTTATGATTATTACCTATGACTATTTTAGTTAGTTTTTACTTAGCCATAATGACATGTTTTATGAGGTAATGGCATGTCCTGGTAGGGCTAGACTTGAGGAATCACAGAAATCCAATGAGTCCATTTCGGTCATGAGAAAAAACCACTAAGCAGATGGAAGATAGTTTTTATAAGAAAAAGAACCCTGAACTAGTAAGGTAATTCACCAGTTACGTTCTTTCTCTTTCTGTTCCACATAATGGAATTAGTTGTAGTGCAATAAAATATCCTGCAAAAAAAATGTTGCCCTTTTCCTTATTAATCTAGTTTGAGATTATTTTTTAATTTGACTATAGAGATGTGTGGCTAGAATTGAAATTGGCAGCCTCCTCAGCTATAGTTTTTAGTATGGGAGTTACCCAGGGCAGAAACCAGTATCAGAGAATAATGATAAAGTTAACTAACTACAGCTAAATTACAGGGCCGCTGTCAGAGGCTGCCATGTCACATCAAATGACTTGGTCTGCCCTTTCTCTGGTTTATATGCTAAAAATTCTCAAGATCTTCTAAATTGAAATATCTCAAAGATAAATTATCTTTCAAATGTAAACACTCATATTTTCTTTTAGAATCTTTTGAAGACTGCTGTTCAAAAGAGTCAAGAATACAATATTTTTCAGCTGGAAAATTTGTATGCTGTCATCAGCCAGTGTATTTATCAGCATCGCAGAGACTATGACAAAACAGCACTTATTCAGGTAAAAAAATCTATGTAAGAATTGACTGATTTTATAAGAATTTTTAAAGACCATTTAATATGTGCATTGTAGATTATTTCTAGGTATTATTGAGTTCTGTACTTTTTTTAAATCAAGCACTTCACTAGTTTGCCTTTCTCCTTTTATAAATAATGGTACTATAGTATCAGTAAACTATGAAAAATTTTTATTTCGTGTGTGTTTTGAAGGTATCTAGCCCCTTTTTAAGATAGACCTATTTGTCTGTACTTAATACTGTTTTACAGTGGACATTAGAGTACTAACTTTTAAAAACAGATATTAGAACAAAGAAAAGAAAAAATATATATTAGATACCTACATAGTATAATATAAATATTACTGGTACCACTATATACCTACTAGAGTATTTTTATATATAGTAATTAGCCTACCTACTAAAGTATACTGTGGTACCTACATAGCATAATATAAATAATGCTAGTACCTATAAAATATAAAATATTAATACCTATAAGTATATCAGTGCCTTAGTTACAACTATTTGAATTTAACAGATGACTGCATCTCAGACTCATTTAAAAGGTATTTAAATAATGAAGTCTCATCAGTGATCTCAGTTTATGTGATAGCCTTAAATTCTGAACTAAATTTCTGTTTTCACTATTGGATATATACATGGGTAATAAATTCTTAAGGGTGTTTAATGAAAAATAGTGATAGAGTAATGTTTCTTTAGCTTTTCCATATTGAAACTTACTGTTTTTCTTTCCTACCCTTTATTTAGAAAATGGAACAAGAGGTAGAAAACTTCAGTTGTTCCAGATCATGATGTCATGGTATCACATATTCTCTGTACTGTTTTTTATTTAGTTCACTTTTGTCATGTTCACATAATTGATACAAGATGAAATCCTGCATTTTTAAGGAAAAGATTAAAATAGTTAAATAAAAATATTTAAACCTTCTTGATATTTATGTACATGTATAATATAAATTACAGAGATAACTGAAAATGCTGGGAGTTTGAGCGAACAGGGCACTATAGTAATAGTAATGCTGTGACATATCAGTCGCTGAAGTGTGGCCAACTCTTAATATGAAGTTACTTGATAGCTCATATTTTATAGCACTGAAGAGTAATTAGTGCATTGACATTTTTTGTTTTAAGCACTTTTAATTTTATTTTTTTCAATAATAGTATATTGTATCAGGCTAGAACTTAACCATTTGCCAGCCTTTTTGTTGTCTTTGTTTTCTTCAGTGCCCATCTCCCATCTGCTTTTCAGTTGCCCTGCCCATTCACTTAAAGCCAGTGTTCAAGTCACAATTTGCCAGAGGGCCCTTGACAAGTTCTGGCTGTGCCACAATTCTGTACTCCAGTGTCAGAATCAATTCTTTTTAGATAAACGTTTTTATAATTCTAATTTGAGTTAATAAATATTTTAAATATTTTCAGTTAAGTTTTATAAGTATACACAACAAACATATTAATAACTACTTTGCTAAACAGCTTTTTATTAGCACAGAGTTTTTATATTCAAAAACTGTTTATATTCTTCTAAATTTGTGTTTAGGTTATATTCTATATATACCTTTTATATGCAATTATATAAGTATTATAAATTTTGTATTAATGATACCAAAAATACATTTCTTTCTTAAAAGAATAAAACCATTCACCACCATGCATTTGATTTCAGCAGCCATTTAATACTTATAAAATAGCTTATGTTGGAAACCTTCAAAAGGAATAGGGGATAATGACCTCATACGAGAGATTCTGATCCTAAGATAGTTTCAAAGTTGAGCTGCCTTTTGCTGATTTATCTGGATATTGTGTTTAAAGCCTAAAATCCAATAATTCAGATACTTTAATTAATAGATCCTATTTGTATAATGCATAAAGCAATGCCTGGTCACTGAAAACATTCGAGTATGTGTGTATTCCTGGATTCACACACACACAATCACACACACATACACTATTTTTATTGAAGTTTATTATAATTTATTCCAAACGCATCTTTTATAAGTAGGATTTTATTTGTATGTATAATTTTTGTAATAAATTATAAATCTGAAAATTGTTTCTCAAATTTGTTTCTATTTCTTTATCATTTAAAAATATCCTAAAGATAATTATAATACTATTTACATTGGACTGTTTATATGCTATATGTCTTTCAGCTACAAAGACTAATGTGCTTCCTGTTTTCTTGACATACTATCTACAGACATGGGAAGTAATATATCTACATTCCTGTGTATTTTCAAAACCATGCTGAAATAGCAAGCTTGAAATGATTCTCATTTTTTGCTTAAAAGTGGAGTCAGCACTGGCTGGTGTTGCTCAGTATATTGAGTGCCAGCCTGCAAACCAAAGGCTTGCAGGTTCGATTCCCTGTCAGGGCACATGCCTGGGTTGTGGGCCAGGTCCCCAGTAGGGGGTGTGCAAGAGGCAACCACACATTGATGTTTCCCTTTCTTTCTCCCTTCCCCCTCCTCTCTAAAGATAAATAAAATCTAAAAAAAGTGAAATCAATCTATAATGATTAGGGAAGAAAAAGAAATAAGAGAGGCATCCAAAATGAAAAGAAACAAAACTATACACAGTGACTTGATCTTATATGTAGAAAATTGTAAAGAATCCACAAAAAATCTGTTAAAGCTGATTAATGAATTTGGCACAGTTTCAGGATAGAAGATCAATACATAAAAGTCAGTTATTCATCGCTAATGTTTAAAAATACAAGGATAGAAAATGGAAATTAAGAAAGCAATTCTATTTACAGTAGCAATCTAAGGCAATAAAACATCTAGAAATAAATTTAACCAAGGAGGTGCAAGACTTGTACACTGGTAAGTACAAAATATTGCTGAAAGAAGTTAAATGAGACCTAAACAAATGGAAAGATATCCTGTATCATATATTAGAAGACTTATTGTTAAAGTAGCAATATTTCCCAAAGAAGTCTACAAGTTTAGTGAAATACCTATTAAAATCTCAATGGCCTTTTTTGCAGAAATAGGAAAATCAATCCTAAATTCATAATAGAATTGCAAAGGGCCTTGAAGAGCTGAAACAATCTTGAAAAAGAAGAAAAAGTTGGATCCACAGTTCCTTCCTTATTCCAGAACTTTCACAAAGCTACATCAATAAAACATGTGCTGACATAAAGGACAGACATAGCAGACCAATGAAATAGAATTGAGAGTCCAGAAGTAAATCCATACATATATCTATGATCAATTGATTTTTAACCATGGTGCCTAAGATCATTCAATGGGGGGAAGAATAGTTTTTTTAACAAATAGTGCTGAGAAAATTAGATATCCATGTGTAAAAGAATGAGGTTGGACCTCTACCTCACACTGTATACAAAGTAATTTAACAAAATGTATCAAAGACCTTAATTTAAGAGCTAAAACAAAATTTTAGAGGAAAACAAAGAACTCTGTATGACTTTGAATTTGGCAATTATTTCTTAAATACGGCACCAAAAAGACTAGCAGCAAAAAGAAAATTAGGTAAATAGGAATCAAAATTTAAAAACTTCGTGCTTTTTCTACAGATAATATTATAAAGGGCTATTAAAACTCAACAACAAAAAGACAATCCATTAATTGATGTGGATGTTTTTGATGACCTGATAGTTTTGAGGACTCCTGGTTAAGTAATTTGGAAGATGCTTTTCTATTGGAATTATTGTTTTTTTCTTATGACTGCACTGGAATTTTGGGAGGAAGATCACAAAAATAAAGTGATAATATCAAGTCACCTACTATCAATGTGATTTATAACTTGACTGACCTTGATCAGGTGACATAAGTACTGTTTGTTAGATTTCTCCATTGTAAAATTACTCTTCTGTTCCCTTTTTGTACTACTATACTTTGGAGTATCCCTATACATAGCCCACTCTTAAGTAATGGGGAGTTATGCTCCCCCTTTGCCTTTTTATTTTTAATTGATTCAGGGATCCTTATAAATACATACTATGGTATTGTGGTTATTTCAGACTCACATCTTCACTACCCTCCTCTGCCCCCTCCCATGGTACTCCATTGCACAAAATAATGCAGTTGAGGTTGCCCCATAATACGAGGGATTCAGTTAGGATTTGGATAACGTGGGAGTTAAAGCTCACTTTAGAATAGTACATTAAGTAAACTAGTGCTAGTTTGCCCCCTAATTTCCATTATCTCATTTCTTGTAACAAAGCCTGGGCAATGTATCCTGCTGAGAAATTATGTTTTTGTTACATTGCAGCAAGATGTGGCCATGTGACTACCTTCTGGCTGATGAGGCACAAAAGAATGCACACTCTCTAGGAAAACTCTTAAGCTCTTTGGAAGGGGAGGGGTGAGAGCATTTTCTGTCCTTCCTTTTTACCTGCTGCCTGGAAAAGACATATTTTATGGATACATAATGGGTGGAACTCCAGAACCTCTCTTGGACTATGAGATGACCTCAAAAATAAAACCTATGACCAAAAATAGAACCTATGACGACTTTCATAAAAGAGAAAGAACCTTGCTCATGATAACTTTAGGGTATTCTTGAAGCCCTTAACTATAGCTGGACTTCTTATTTGAAACTGAAATAATTTACCTTGTTTAAACTGCTGTTGTTGGGTAGATCTCTATTATTGGTAATGGAATGCAGTCCTCACCAACAAAGGCATACAGGATACATAAAGAGTTGGGGACAATATTTTTGGTGCCTCGGGTCTCAAAATGTCTTGTTCAGGACTTGCTGCTTATAGAAAGTAAACGCTAAATAAGAAGCCACTGAGTCCTTGGGCACACAGGTGGCATGTTCAAGTGGACTTGCAAGCTTTTCTTGGATGGCCTAGAAAAACAACAGGCTACAAGCAAGACAGTCAAAAGGAAGTCGTCAAAGGCATTTTTGGAGTGGAAAGCTTAGTAAGACCTTGTTTGGTAATACAGTGTACATTACCAATAATTCCATAATTGTGAAGAAAAACTCCCAAAGGATTTCTGGGGATATTGACAGCAGTAGAGAAAAGTGAGTTCAATACAATCAGAAACATCTTGATTTTCAGGTAATAGTGGGATGCTAGGAAGGCAGAAGAGAATGGTCTTTAACACATAATTTTTGTGAAAGAGTGGATAATGGCCACCCAAAAGATGCCTTTCATCCTAATCCCTAGAACCTGTAAGTGTTTCCTTCTATGGCGAAACAAAAAAGGAGAGAGTCCTTTACATTTAATTAAATTAAGGATCTTGGTTATCTTGGGTTATTTGTGTGGGCCCTAAATACAATCCTATCCAATGAAAGGGAAACAGAATAAGATTTTAGAAGAAAAGGCAAAGTAACCAAGTCAAAGAATGGCGTCATGTAGCCATGAGCCAAGAAAATGCTGGCAGCCAGTCACTAGGATCTGGAAGCAGCGAGAACAGAGGAGAGCAGCCCTGCCAGCACTTTGATTTTGGCCTGGCGATACTGAGTTAGGACTTCAGTCTGGCCTCCAGAGCTGAAGGAGTTATTGTCTAGAAGTAGTGCTGGTGAGGAAGGGAAACTTTTCCTTTAAGATGAGTCTTCCTCAGAAGATAGGGATGAAGAAAGGTGTCATACGAGAGTAAGATGAGGAAGGAGAAGAAAGAGGTTCTGAAGTGATTTTGTGTGAAGAGGAATTCCTCACCCTGAAGTCAAAATGTTCCAAGTTTCAAAGCAAAAGGAAGGAGAATGGTTTTTCCTTTTTCATTTTTTTAAACTCGGTGTGGGTTTTGGTTTTTGGTCAAGGGGAAGGGCATGATTGGAATAGGGCATAGCTGGTTGCAAAAATACTTCCAACTATACTTACTAAGGGGACCCAGAACTGTCATTTTGCTGAATCAAATGTTCTCTCATACTCTACCGCTCAGCATCATTCCATGTGATAGAACACATGTATTTCTTGAAACAATTTTTCCAAGATCAAGACCATGTTACCTGTGTTTTTGATTGGGAAGGTGTTGTCCATCATGAGTATGCCCTTCCAGGCCAAGCAATTAATAAAGAGTACTACTACCTTAATGTTTTGTTGGTTGAGAGATGCAATATGATGAAAACAGCTGCAGCTATGGGCAACTGGTGATAGGCCGCTTCATCATCACAATGCTCCTACTCGTGCATTATATCCTCTGCAGAGTTTTGGCAAAATGTCAAATCACCCAGGTGACTCAGTCCCCTATAGCCTAGATTTGGCGCCCTGTGACTTCTGGCTTTTCCCAAAACTAAAATCACCTTTGAAGGAGAAGAGATTTCAGACTGTTGAGATTCAGGAAATACGACGGGGCAGCTGATGGTGATCCCAACAAAGGATTTTGCAGTGTTTGGAACAGTGGGAGAACTGTGTGGGGTCCCAAGGTCCCTACTTTGAAGAGGACTGAGGTGTCGTCGTCCTATGTACACTGTTTCTTGTACCTAATATCTTCTTCAATAAATGTATCTTTCATAGCATGTGGCTGGATACACTTTCTGGACAGATCTTGTATTGGGCTTTTTCCCTCCAGATTCCAAGGTTCCCCGCCACTCCACCCCACTCCTTTTTTATGGCTGCCTTCCTCTATCCTTAATCTTCGTGTTCTTCAGAGCTTGGTCCTGGGATCCCCTTTACACTTTTTTTCCAGGTGGTGGTTTCTGCTCTCAAGGCTTTAAATACTATCTGTACATCACCTACTCCCAATTTATATCTCCAGGCCATATCACTTTTCTAAAAAGTGATACGACTTTTCCCTGAAACCTGTTTCGCCTCCAGAGTTCCTCTCAGTTTAGAAATGCCGTTACCTTCCATCCAAATGCTGAAGCTAGAAACCTAAAGCTTCCTTCTCCCTCAACTTCCAATCTATGACCAAATCCTGATTAGAAAAATCAAAAATACCTCTCAATTCTCTCCCTTTTCCCCACGGACTCCTAACTCTGTATAGCCACGTGCCTATGCTACTGCACGAACCTCTCAATTGGTCTTGCTTGCTCTTGCCCCTGCCATCCATTCTTCACCTAGTAGCTAAAATCTTAGTTCAGGGAACTTAGATCTGATACCATTTGCTCATACTCAGTGCTTCCCATTGCAGATTCTTGTTATGGCTT